TTTTAAAAGCTTATTTACTTAAACTTTTAAAGTTAAAAAGATTCTATCTACATAGACTTTATATATATGGTCAGAATTAATGGCACCCCTGGTAAATATGATCAAAACTGGCTGTAAAAAAATAAATCTGCATTGTTTATCATTTTAATCTTTCATTCAAAAAAATGGCAAAATTCGAACCTTTCATTGAAGTAAAACAATTGAAAGTCAGCAGGAAAAAAAAATCACATTACGAAATAAATGTTTTTCTCCAAAACACGTTGGACACAATTATTGGCACCCTTTTATTAAATACTTTTTGCAATCTCCTTTTGCTAAGATACTAGTTTTTATGCTTTCATCATTTAATGTTTCTACCTTTCAAATGCCTTTATGTATAGATTTCATTATTTTTCCCTTATCTGAGACTAAGACTAATCCTACTTCATAAAAGTAAAAAGGAATTATATTTTAAAAACTGATCATCTAAGAATAGTAAAAAGTTATTCGATATTTGTGTGAAATTGTTTCATATCAATTAATCCGCAAATTATTCCCGTGACTGTCATTTCCATCACATCTAACAACTTTTTAATGACAATTTTTTGGGGAAGGAAACAAAAGTATCAGTGAAAAGGATTCTTGAAATTAAGTTAAGACGTTAATTTTAAGAAAAAGAAAAAAATAGGCCTGAGTATCAGAATAACTGGAGGAAAAATTCCAACAAGCTGCCATTTTGTCAAACTTTAGCCTAATAATCCTGCTTACAATGCATAGAGAGCCCCGAACTCACCAGAAAAGCACTGCCTGTGTGCCTGCCTCCTGCTGAGCCCAGAGAATATGGACGCTTGATGGTTGGTACGTCAGCACGTGGGGCCCACACCAGTACAAACTCCCTCAAGCTTGGGTACAAAGACTCAGTAAAGGGAAAATGAACAAATATCTTTAGGATTCATCTCTTCTACAGTATTCTCAAAAACCCAAACTGGGAACATTTATCATTACTTTTTAATCACAATTCAGTTCTGTTACGAAAAATGCCTCCACTCACTCACCCCAGCTCATCCACTCGTTGATGTGATTGGTTACAAGGTCATCTGTGACGTCAGAAACACCAGCGATTTCAAACCGCGTTTGTGAGACTGTTCGCTGCAGTTTTAAGGACAAAATATTCTGCAATGGTGTTAAATTATGTATTTGCACATGGTGTGTTTTAAAGCATATAAAAAAACACCACATAGACATGATACAAACAACATTCAAAACTCGATTTTCACCACTTTGCTTTCACCATTGATGCTCTTCAATGCAATTTTCACCCAACAATCCAGAATAATTAAGTTTTATAGTACAGCTGCTTGCATCAGGTTGTACAGGCGCTGAGTGATTTACGGCTCTTCTCTGTGATGCGGTTTGGTTGAAGGGTTGTCATTTATGCTATTCCTTATCTCTGTCCCGGCCTGTCAAACATACCAGCCTGCTGGCTGCGTGTCGAGCATTTGCATGTCTCAGAGATGGGAAGTTGTCAGGGAGTGACGAGACAGAGGTGAAACTAAATCTACAAGCCCAATTCCTTGTTGAATCTGTCTTTGTTGTCAAAGAGTGACGGCTAATAGATTGTGAGATATTCACCTTTGTTCTTTATGACTAGATGAAATAGTTTCTCTTGTGCAGTGTTTTTTTCATACCACTTCATGATATGTTTAACCACAAAACACCATTTTTCATCTGCTCATATTATCTTCATTCATGCATGTGAATTATATTAGGCTTCTGCACTCCAATGCAATACTTCAACACCAAAATTACAGAGCATATTCAACTTTTGAATGTGGAAAAAAGATGACACACTTTCAACCAAAATACACCTATTTGGACAGGAAGAGGGAAGAGCTATAATTATTACTTTTTACTATCTTGCCTGGAAAAACGCTATAAAAGGACACTGTCGATTAATGCTGAATGTTTTCTCTGGCTCTAAAACTCTGTACAGAAAGTCCCCAAAGGACATGCCATGCTTTGTTTCCGCTGTATATCTACAGTAGGTTCGGGTAATGAAAACAGCAGTGGTGTAACACAGTAGAATATAGGGGCTTAGACACCTGTTTGGTGCTGGAAGAACAGGTAATAAGCACCTGACACGGAGAGAGGCAGCTGTCAGAAACAGTGAAGCTGTCCAGAGGCCGCTATAATGAGGTGTGTTCTGAAGGAAATGCTCCAAGTGTAATTATGGTCCAGCTAACTCTGTAGCCTGTGGCTGTCAACTTCCAATTTATCATCATGATACATCTGCAGAACTCAAGGCCATGGAAACAAAGATGGGGGGGGGGGGTTGAAATATGTTGTCAGATCAGAGCTAAACCAATAAAATGATCAGCGGGCATGAGGAGTCCCACTGAGACAGCTGGAAAACGTGAGCACTAAAACAAGTGAGAGATTCTTGTCTTTAGCTTACTGCGCAAACACAACAACAGAGCATTTTAGGATGTAAAATAATTTGTATAATTAGGAAGTTATTTTTTTAAGTTGATTACTTGGTTCTCAATTATTTATAAGTTGAAACATATTTGATTCTGACTGGTCAATCACACCATCCAGGCGAAAATGTTTTAATGTAAAACCTATAGCCACAAACACAAAACAAGCACTAGCAATGAAAAGAACCGAAATTATATGGGTATTTAATGATTTGCAGATTACATTTAAGTCAAGTCAAGTCAAATATATTTATATAGCACTTTTCACAATACAGATTGTATCAAAGCTGCTTCACAGTATCAATCAAGACAACATCACAGTGTTTGTTTACTCATGAAAAAAGACAATCAAGATTGGTAGAGCTGATCAATGGTATGATGGGTCATTTAATTTGAATATATTTGAAATATATTTATTAATATTTAATCTATTACACTTTCATAAAACATTTGTAATTGTCTTGATAAATATATTTGACTCTATTTTGATACATAATATGGTCATTTGGCTGTCATGTAGATTTGCGCTCTACAACATCAGGAAAACCCGACCCTTCCAGTCAGAATATCCAACACAGCTATACTTGTCCAAGCGCTTGTGATTTCAAGACTGGACTACTGCAATGCTCTACTAGCGGGCCTTCCAACCAGCATGACTAAGCCTCTACAGATGATCCAAAATGCAGCGGCTCGTCTAGTCCTCAATCAGCGAGAGAACCACGTCACACCCCTCTTGATCTCACTCCAGTCCACTTGCTCCCAGTGGTAGAATCAAGTTTAAAGCTCTAAAGCTGGCTATCAGGACTATCACTGGAACAGCTCCCTCCTATACCTATTTCTACAAAATGTATGCTCCCACAGAAACCGAACATTCTCAGGCCAGCAGCATGTGTCCAAATTTCAATCTTAACCGTTCTAATCAGAAACAATCTTAAAACAGGGCTTTACGTGTAAAATACAGAACTTGTCCTTTAATCTCTAGTTGGTTTCCTAATCTTGTCTAATAAACCTGGTATTGTGTACTACAATGATTATGTTAACATAAAACATAACTTTCAGATGGCATCTTTATTTTTCTAGATCAACTGTCACAGGATTGTGGGATATCAAAGGTATATCAAAAGGATCTACCAAAGTCATCTATGCTGCTAAAATCGATCAGATGAAGGTATCTCAGGAGACAGGAAGTGAAAACAACATTTCATTTGGATGTACCTTGATGCCCGAGGATGCATCCTCCGAAGGGAGCATTTATCGGTTTTTGGATGCAGCCAGAGTTTCTAAAAGCATTAGCAGATGACCAATCAGTGTACCAAAGTACCCAGGAGCGATTAGAAAGGAATAGCTGTCTGTTGTGATGTCATAGCCTACACCAGTCAGTTTGCGCAGTGCTGCTTCAAGTCTCACACTCCTCGGCTGCTTCCGAAATCGCATACTGCACCCTAATGGTAAACTTGGTACCAATGTGTTATTAGACCAAAGCTTCATTTTGCGCCGGAGTTCTCCTTTATTAAAACTTTACACTTACTTCTTCTGGAGGTGCAGAGGGAATATAAATACTAGTTGGTACCGATTAGTTTTTCAGGAGCAGCTTCTTAGCAAAAGCAGCTTACACTGACCCTCGTTTACAAAGAAGTCTTCAGCGTTCGAATTAATTTAGGAATATCAAAACAACTGCTGTTTTTGTTATTACACCCAAGAACAGAACACCACAATCGCTTTTAGACGGCATTCTGCTCTAGTGTATCAAAAATGACGTACTATGACGACAGCGCGCTCAGGGCGGGTCTGTGTTGAAACGCTGCTGTCAATCAACAGTCGTGGGAAGGGCGTCCGACCGTGTGACGTCACGGTCGAACTTGCTCGATTTGAGGAAAGGGAAAACATATAAGGAGATTAAAACAAATACACTGGATGGATTTTTATCATTATATGATGGTTGTGTACAGGCACTGCCAACATACATTTCAGTACAATCAACTTGTAAAAGTGCATGTATGCATATGTGCATATGACCCCTTTACGTAGCCATGTAATGGCAGATTGATTGACTTACTGTACATTATCCCTAATCTAGTAAACAAATATTTTGCCCTCAGTCCCAACCTCCATTATTTGCACTGTGGGAAGTGGCACTGGAATATGAGGGTGAACAAAAGCCTGTGGTGGCAAAGGAGCACAAAAGCACAGGCTGAAGCATCATAAGGGATGGATACGTTCCCATCAAGCTGGAAGACAAAACAGAGAACCACAGGGGAAAAGATGCAGCAGATTTATTTACTCTCTAGACTGCAGTATGTCACACTGGTGCAAAATAGGGTGAAAAAGCATCCATTTGCACATATGAGGAAGAAAACGAATGGCAGTTCAATTCAGCATGGTGAGAAATTTATAAAGACATGTTTTAATCAACATACAATTTGCAAGTTACAAGTTTTGAATTAGCCTATTATACAGTATAAATATAATAATATTTAGAAGTGTATGGGAAATTTCTTTGTCTTTCATTCCAGCAGCTTTTATGATGCTTTTTGTCTTTGCATGCACAGTTACAGAATTACCACACCCAAAAACATGACAGTACACACAGATGCCCTCTTCTGGTCAGGTTGGAGTCTGGTCTCTTAAAGAGAAATTTTGAATAGCCTTTCATATTGTTGTTATTTTATTCATGTTAATCAGATAACATAAAAGAACATAAAAATTTTAATCAGAAATAATGCATGCATTAATTTGTAACCACTATCGACCAATGATTTAAAAAGAAAACTTCCAGTACATATGCTATTTGTTGTATTTTCTTTAGACTTAGCAAGAGTTTTTTTTTAAAGAAGACTAGTTGACATTTTTCAGATAGATAGGCTCAATGAATATTATCAAACCATCTCATCCTCCAGGATCATGACTAAAATTCTGCTTTAAAATCATAAAACTTGAGCCTCATTTTTGTTCATACCACACTAAACATTTGGAAAACGTTTTACTGAAACTCTGTGGCTTTTATTGATATTATACATCTGAGGCTTCATGGGATCGACAATTCGAGGGTGTCAGCCAATTCAAAGTGTAGTCCCTGTAAAACAACATATCAGATATTGCTTTGTCACATTGTCAGCCTTTCAAAAAAAGAGTATATTTTGTGAATTTAATCTATATTTTTGTTTTGAAATCCTGAACATGTCATTGTGTATGTAATTTGTCTAAGGCAGAGGCAAGAACCTGAGAGTACCTGTTGATTTTTTGCCCTTTCCTCTTCTGAAACTCTTCCTCATCCACTGTCCACACGGCTCCCATCCGTCCGTCCACACGCACAAAGCATTTGTGGAGACTAAGATTGTGTCGCACAGCATTCTGAGATAAAAAAGTTAAAGCAGTTATAAATCATAAGGTCTCGTGGTGTTTAGTGAGATTATTCAACATAATTTTATCATGTCAACAGCGACACCATGTGGACAAAAATATAATGTGCCAAAGTGCTAGCTAGAGACTAACAATCTCAGGATATCAGAGATCAACCTGCTGAAAGTTGTAACTTATTTTGTTTTAATTTAGCCAATTCATATGGCACTAAATTAGACACACAAGTAAATCTTTCAGTCTCTCACAGTATAAAAAAAATATTATATGATAAAATCAAAATCTTTAAATTAAGCTTTGAACTTGTTGGGTGAGACAGCATGTTTAGTACCTTCCATGTAGGAGAACTGTGACGGAAATAGTAAAACATTCTTGTGAACCAATTGTAGATTTCGTTTAACGTCCGCTGTTTCTCTGGGGCTTCCACGATTGACTGTAGGAATCAATGATAAATCCTATTTATACACGTTTATATTTAAGATGACACATACATAAAATGAGTATTAAAATGTATTTTATATAAACTAAATTAAATATATTTGTACTTACCCATCTGATTAGAAAAGCATATGTATATGGAGGTCGTATATTAGCATATTTGTAGTATTCAACACTGCTAACGAAATCTGTAATTGGCAGAAAACCAACTGAATAAAAACAATAATTCTTGGAAATTGACAACAAACACTCATATGTGTCATTTTGCTGTACGTGTCTCTATGTTTTGCTGCCGGGTAATGCAAATGAGTCATTTTCCATAACATACTTGCACAATGCATCTAGCAAATGCGAAATCAAGGTAGCTTGTTTATAAGCGACAACTCGAGCTGAGGGCGTGTGAACTACTTTTGGTCCAGATATAAGGTAGCCTTTGTGGTCTGCAGGCATGCCAACTGTGACAAGAGGAAACAAGCTAAATCACATCTTCAATTGTAGTCATAGTGGTAGACCACCAACTTTCTACTTTCTGGCCAATAACATAAATGGAAGGGAAGCAGAAGATGGGTGTGGCCTTCTCATTGTAAACAGTGTTGGATGGTAACCTTTATCCATCTGTATATTTTTAACCTTTTCAGACCTTTCTACTTGATTAGATTATTCTTCTTTAAAGAAACTCTTTAGCTGGAATGTGTGTTTAGGAGCACAGTAAGATGTGTATTTTGGATTTAAGCAGGTTTTTACCTGGCAGCATGTGTGTTGGGGGTATGTGCCAGGGGTCCTGTTGTACCGGTGCTTCCCTAGCTCTCTCTGTCCTGCCATCTGGCTCCCCCAACGGGGGCAATTTTAGTGCCAGCGGCCTCCACCGACCTGTAGCAACTCCCTGATGGAGAACACACAACACACAAGTCAGTGCTTAATATGAGAGCAGATTAAGCACAGCCATAGATTGTCATTAAAATCTTGAAATGAGTCAAACTGCACTTTGTATGGATTGACTGTCGTTTTATGAAATCAAAAAAAGGAAATGTCATGTTCACTATGAGAATCACTATTTCTGTATGCTCTCATGAAACTGCGTGGCTCATAGAGTATTCTGAAAAGTCTTACAGTACATGCCGAGATGCAGTCGAAGAGTTGAAGGTGGATCTGCATGGCGTGAAGTTTCTGCTTCTCCTGAATGAGCTAAAGTCATCACATATGGCACATTAGAGTGACTGGGTTCTCAAACCACTTTTACCAAGATCTTTTTGCGTGATTCTTTTGGGTTCACACTCAGTGACTCAAAACCAATGAAACCATGATTCACTTTCAACGCCTCAATTCATAATAACTGATGATAATCAATGATGTACGGAGCAAGGCTTTTGCGTGTGCAGCTTGTAAGAGATCGTATCACTGTACCTGATTCTCCATGTGGCGTACCAGGTCTTGTTGAACCCGCCACTGAGCAATAGTTTTCTCATCTGTGCTGTGGTCTCGGTTCAGATGTCTAGACAGGTTGAGAATCAAAAGAGGAATCTTTCAGTTTGAAAATGATACATTTCCAACAAGGGAAGCTCGCTTACGTCATTTCAGATTTGAAATAAAACACAGACTTACCTCAAAAAATGTGTGTACCCTTCAAAGACTTTATCACAGCCTGGCCAGCGGCATTGTCCATTTATATACAGAGAGCTGGATCTCTGGATCTCTGTCTGGACAGGGCTGAGGAGGACATGTGAAGGACGTAAATATACTTATTGATGAACATTTATTACCTTTTTTTTTTTCTCAGTGATACCTGTGATGGTGTAAGCTGGAAGATTGTTTCCTGTCAGAAACAGCGTGTATGGAAATCTGCGCGGTCTCTTTTCTTCTGTTCATGGCTGCTGGGTGACTGTCATTTGCTAAAGAATGAGGCAAAATAGTACACACCTGTGAATACTTAAAAAAACAAACAAAAAAACAGTTATTTTTTATATTGTATTGTTTTAATATGTAACACACACACACACATATATATATATATACATATTTGTGTGTGTGTATATATTACTCATATGAGATGAATTAAAAAGCATTTAAATAATGAGTATTTTTATTATGTATTTATGATATTTATTGTTATATATATAAACACTGTGTATACAATTACATATAAATATTATGAATAATATATTATCATATTTATGTGTAATTTTATATACATTTGTGGTCAAATAATTGCATACCTCTTGCAGTAAATGTTAAAACTTAAATAATAACAATCCTACTACTACTACTACTAATAATAATATATATATTTTTTTTGATAATCAAAAATTATCAACATTTTGCAGATTCTTCAAGGGGTACGTATATGTACGACCTCAACGCTATTACATAAAACATACAGCACCTCCTTCAGAGAGAGTTTGAAAACTTCTGTTTTATTTCTTTTGAAACCGTTTGAGTCGAAACGCTTTGAAGAGGTTACATGCAGCAGAGTGTGTGTTTCAAAAACATTGTTGCTTGACAGAACATGTACATATATGGAATATAATGTTATCTCTGTGGATTTCACTACTTTGACTGTCAAGAAAAAAATGTAAAGTTTGAATAATTCATTGGAACACAAACCCTGAAGCAGGAGAGCCGTAGAGCGGAGTACAGACGGCCGGATCTGGCCAGCTCGAGAATTCTGAAACACCAGCTGAAGAAAATCCATCCGTTCCTCATCACCAGTTCTCTGCACACGTACACAAACACACAGAATCACGCTAAACACACTCTCCACAATAAAGGCCATTCTCTGAGAGCTTCATGTAGCTTTTATCATCAGAAGCTACCTGGCATAGTGGATGTTTTAAGTATGTAGAGTTGTTGGAAGGAACAGTATGGCTGAGCTGGACTGATCCCACCGTCTGAGAGGCAGAATTCTACAGAAATGTCAGAAATCAGAAATATATTGCAGTTCATATAGGCTCCTCTAGCAAGGAAACTAAGAACACATCTATACACGAAATGATTTGGAATCTTTTGAAAATGCAGTTTAAATGCAAACAACCATCTTCATAGAAAGTACCAGAAAATGAAGCTCACTCACAGAACATACAGCAGATGAAAGATCTTCCACGCACTGGTGTGAAGAACGTTCGTTCTTCAGAGGGGGGGATGCGTCATGCTCTTCTTTCAGTTGTGGCTGTCGTTCATTTTCTCTCCCACTCTTTTCACTTTCTCTCTCAGACCGAGGCATTCCTGAATTCAAGAGTTCGATAAAGATTGCAAATTGATGTACAGCGTCACATACTTAGACATTTCACATAATGCATAATGTGAAAGAGACAATGAAACAGTTAGCTGAACTTTAGCTTTTTAACTTTGGTTAAGGTTAACTTAGTGTTGCATTTTGTCTGTATTAGACTATCTGAGAATATAATTGCTTTAATTTACAATACATTTTGTATCGTATGTATTTATTGCTTTCATGGTGTCAGCGCTCTGATTTTTTTATTACATATGGACATTTCTCTTTGACTCTTTACATTATTTTGTTTGTTCAGTCTTTAATATGGAATCATCTGAATTAGATATGCATATAAGATTGGATATGATATATCAGTCCACTGACCCCCCCATACCTTCATGAACCCCCAATAATACATGAGTTTACCTAAAGTGATTCCTCAATTTCTGAAGAGGACTTAGTTAAAGGGTTATTTCAACCAAAAATGAAAAATCTGTCATCAATTACTCACTGTTCCAATAAACATTGGTTCAGCTTCAAAACACAATGAAGATATTTTTTGAATGACATCTATAAAATGAAAGACCTCCATTGAAAGTCTATATTCACCCAAAATTCTGACGCTTCAAAACATTGATAAAGAAATTGTAAAATAAATCCATATGAATCGAACGGTTTATCTTCTGAAGAGACGTGATCACTTTATTTGATGAGGAGATTTAGGCTTTTATTCACATAATACAGAAGCTCAACCGAACCTGCTTGACTCGTGAGAACAAACCTCATTGGTTCTTGTGAAAGCTCAAACGTGCTGCGTAACCTCATTGGTTCTTGCACGTAAAGCAATGCTTGAGCTTCAGTTTACCATATCTGATGTGTGAGTTGATGAATGTTCATATGTGAATAAAAGCCTAAATTAAATCTGTTCATCATAGTGATAGTGTCTCATAGTGATAATTTGGACTAAACTGCTCCGTTTATATGGATTAGTCTTACGATCTCTTAATAAACTTTTTGAAGCTTCAAAGTTATGTGGGCTGTCAGTGGAGGTACAGAAATCTTCAGATTATATAAAAAATATCTTCATTTGTGTTTTGAAGATAAACAAAAGTCTTGAGGGTTTGGAACGACATAAAGGTGACTGAATTAAGAAAAAAAAATGGTGAATCACCTTTAAATAAAAATGAAAATATGTTGTAAATCTATGCAAAAAAAAATAAAAAAAAAATAAGCTACTACAGAGAAGAAGAAGCAATTTTATGGGAATTTCACAGAAAAACCAAGAGGAACAATAAGGAAAGTACTGATATGATAACATGAAATTGCAGTGAGTGGACGGATCACATAATTTGCAGTAGCCACAAGACCATAATCATTTCCGACAAATCTCTAAATCTCTAAGTCTCCAGAAAAACCTGAACTTGAGAGCTGCTTGAATGAGAATGTGCGTGACATCTGTCTGTCAACAGACCTCTCCCACCACAGGAAACCACACAAACACACTTTGCATTTTGCAAAAACATGCACAAAAGCAACCCAGGAACAGGATAAGGAATAAGACAGCAATAGAAAGTGGTTGATGATGTTATTGAGCCTGAGTTGAGATCAGAGCATCTCACTATAAAACTATACATTTATATAACAATAAAATGATTTGTTTTCATGTGCATCTCTGCACTTTAAACAAACATCAAATGCAAGCAAATTTAATTATAAAAAAAATGAAATAATTTGGATTTCATCTTAAAAACAACAAAAATATAATGCTTGCATTATTATTCACTTTTCTAGACAATGTTTATCACCCCGCATGACTTGCTTTCATGTTCACACAATTCATGGAATATTACTCACTATCTTGCTTGATTCTTTTTCCTCTTTTCACCTAGGCCTACGTGCACTTTTTAACCCTGCCTCGCAAGACAAAATCTAAGTGAAACTACATTTAGGAATCAATATTTGTCAGCTACTTTCCTTACCATCTCTACCACATGAAACAAGTTGAAAATCTAAACTTTTTTAGACTTGATGAAATCTGGTTGTTATCCAAAAAAAACATTTCAGAAAAAAACAAAATGACTCACAGTGACCATAACTTTATCTCTTTTATCTTTCCACTCTCATATTTCCATTGTTTGAAGGCGTATATTGCGTGCAATAAACGTAACAGTTATAATTTAAGCAAAGACAGTATCTCAATTTCATGTGTGACATGCATGGTATCATTCTGTATCATTATTTGCTTGCTTAACATGATTTAAATATTATTCAGATATGCAAAACAGGCATTCAAATAAAACCCTGATATCATTCTTATCATTTGAGATTTTTTCATGTAAATAAGTATGCATTTTAAATATTTGAATTAAGATCCCAATATGATGTGCATGCAGATAATGTGGATGCAGATTTGAGTATGCATACAAATTTTTGGATACTTTGGAAATATCATAATCCAAAGTCTCATCTAATGCCAGCATGGAATACTATATCACCAAAGTTGTCATTAAACAACAGGCACTATTAAATTATGCATATTTTATAAACATGCAAGTAAATATTTACCAGCTTTCTTTACCTTGCGCCTTTGTAGTCAGCCGTTGTCTTCCTGTGCTGTTCTGGTTAAAAACGAGAGTGAAAGGATCTTTATAGCATAAAATTGACAATCTGGAAAAAAGAGAGAGATAAAATCTCACATCAAAGGTGTAAATGCAATGTTAGATTATTCAATTTATATCAACGGTTGTAGATCATGACATGAGGTAATGTAATTCTTCTATGAATGTCAAAGAACACATGCAGCGGAGACCATCTTACACCTCAGTCTGCAAGGGTTGCGCTCAAGTTTTTTGGTGTAAGATTAAAGACAGTTCATATTACTTAATGCTTTATGTTATGGTAAAGTGTTAGCAAGGTTAAGGTGAAGCAAAGAAAGGTTAACACAATATTGAAAGGAAAAGGGATGTTCTTTTTTACTTTATATTGATATTAAGATACAAAATATTATTTAAAGATTATGCATTTCGTTTTTCTTAAATTTATGAATAACAAATTATAACAAATAAAAAAAGTTTTAATAAAATACTTTATAGCTACTTTATAGCCTATGGCATATTTTGGTCAAAAAAAATTCTGCAATTTCATGTTATAATGGAAATACAGTACCTGTTCGCACACATTACAAGAAAAAATTCACAAATTGATTATACTATATATATATATATATATATATATGGGCTATTTACAGCACATATAAAGTATATATATATATATATATATATATTTACATATACACATATATTACACTCTAAAAAATGCTGGGTTGTTTCAATGCTGGGTTGGGTAAAATATGAAAATATTGACAAATGCAAATGTTTGGTTAAAAATATAATTTAAAAATTTACAGTTGAAAGTGAAAGCTGAAATTGGTTTAAAATTTTTAACCCAACATTTGGGTTTGTCCATATTTGACCCAAATTTGGGTTATAACAACCCAGCATTGTTTAGAGTGTAGTAAGTAATAAATTATAACAAATTATAAAAAGATTTAATAAAAATGTTGTGCTGCTATACCCTATGGCATATTTTGGCAATAATATGTCTCATTTTGCTATTTCATTTTATAATGTATTATGACATACTTATACTGCATGTGTACATATAAATAAATATTATATATATATATATATATATATATATATATTTATTTATATATATTCACTGTTCTATGGTCAATATTCACTAAGGTCATAAATTCCAGCAAAGACAGATTAATAAAACAAAGAGGATTCCAAAACACAAATTGTATCTAGCAACACATCTGTTAAGTTATAGGAAAATTTATCTCATATACTCTTTAGCACATTGTTTAGTTTTCACAGAATAGTTTCCACAGAACTGAATAGTATTTTAAGACTCACCTGAAGTTGCCACCTTCCCACATAGAATGTGTCATTGCCAGAAGTCAGTATCCAGCACTTATTTATGCTCAGAAAATACTTAGTGTCATCACAAAGGAAACGAGAATGTTCCAAAAACAACAGTAAGGGTATTTAAAAACAGCTCTTGAGTTTTACACAAACACTCCAGTGAAAAGGTGTTTATTTGGTGTCACGCGATGAATATGTCAAAAGCATCGCTGTATCATTTTGAATTATACATTAATATAATTTGTTGTTTGAGCAAGATAAAATGGTTTCTTGAGGTTGAATAGCATTATTAATTAATCTGTGTCATTACAAAAACAGCAATAACATCAACAATGATGATTTTAATAACAAAAAGACGTCTCATGATCATTATCATTTTGATTTTGAATCTTTTCCCCTCAGGTTTTCTTTTCAGTACTGACCAAACCAGAATATATCAATTGCTCCATTAAAAAAAAAATATACATAAATGCATACATAACATATTTAGCTCTACATATGGCAGTCAATGCATAATTCCTAAAAATGTATGCATGTCATTCTATGAATATCACATGTAATATTTGCTGCATCCTTTTGTGCTACTATCATAAATAAGAGAAAAGTGTGAAGGATTAATCATTATATATCATATGAAGGAAAGTATGAGTTAATGATTACCTATGCTATGCCATACATCAAATGAAAGTTGCTTTATTGTCATTTCTCTCCCACAGTATGCTGTTTAAGAGGAAGAGTTAAGAGTTACAGGCAATAAAGGTAGACATTCAACTATGACTTATATATATATAGTCATAGTCCAAAATCAATTGGGTCCAGAGTTGTTTGAACACCAACATTTTTCAAAAGATCTTCGTGAAGAATGTCAAAAGATCTTCTTGAAAAAATGTTGAATCTTTTCCCAAGTCTATTCGTTCGTTTTGTTCGTTGAATGAACTAAATGACACGAAAAAAGATTCGTTCATTTTGATAAACGAACAGGAGAGTCACAAACGTGCATCACAGAACAGAGCAGAGCCATTTGAGCTCATAAAACTTAAACTTTGCTTTTTTTTTTTAAATGAACGATCGTTTAGCTTGATAAGACCCTTATTTATCGTCTGCAATTGTTTAAAGCCATTTGAACAGTTTGCAGTTTGCACTGAAACAGTTTGTCTTTTGGACCTTGAACCGTTTGGTGCCTAGTAAAGTTTATTATATGGAGAAAAATCCTGCAATGTTTTCATCAAAAAACCTCAATTTCTTTTCGACAGAAGAAAGAAAGACATGGACATCTTGGATGACATGGGGGTGAGTAAATTATCAGCAAAGGATTTTTTTACTCCTTTAAGGATGATCAACTAAAAAAGTGCACTGGCTGCTTTCATAACCTTTCAAATCTTTAAGCTGCAAAGGACAGAACTGGTGACAGCCTTCCTGTATCTTACACAGTAGAGCATTGGCACTTGCAACGCCAAGGTTGTGGGTTCGATTCCCAGGGTAAACAACCACTGACGATCAATGTAAATGTGTACCTTGAAATGCAACACACGTCGCTTTGGATAAAAACGTTTGCCAAATTCGTAAAATGACTTTGACTTCAGCAGTATGTCGGCTATTTCTGAAATATGACATTTTCCTGGCATAAATCTGTATGTTTCTGGATATCTGCCTCTGTAGATATTTATCTTTTTTTTTTTTACACAAATAGGATTTAAATCTGTTTTAAGTATGACTCAGTATTTCTTTTTGTAGGTGTTTTCTGATTCAGCGTATTCGGATCTGTTTGTAGGCGTAAAATGATTTTCTATTAGTCACTGACGCGACATGACCTCAATATTCATGTGAGAATTAATCATATATGTGCCACCAGGTCTGACGAAAGTTAAGATCTGTTATTGAAAAGTGAAACTGGCAGGGATTGGGAAAACTGGGTATTTCACATTGTACAATTTGACCGTGTGAACTTGACCTTAAAATTCTAACAACTGCCATGTGTTCATTAGCAAAATGACTGTATTGGAAAAACTCCACTATAATTAACACCAATTATCAACATATCAGATCACCTCTTCAAAGGTTAAAGTTTTTTATCATTATACAGTAGGTTTAGTGGCAAATATTGAAATCTTTTGCTTTTTTTATATGTGATCATTTTAAATATTAGTAGGCCTATTTAATTATAATAAGTGCACACTGCATTAAAGCTGAATCAGTGCGTCCATTTCAGAATGACTGAACTTAAAGTAGGGCTTAATTTTAAGCAAACAACAACGAAGACTGCTACTGCAATCACACAAAATTTCAATATACATATATGGGACTGTCCTCAGGAGCAAACGACAAGTTTGTTTTGATGAGAATTCTTATTTTTGTGGTTGGCAAATGTCACACATGTCACGTTCTGATTTCTGATAAGCTGCTTTATGATTTCCTTTGAAAGCCCGTTAGTGATCGTCGACAGTCACACGATTACTTGCCATCAAATTTGCACAGATAAACACTTTCACTGGAACGAGTGACAAAGCTCTTTCTAATTACAAAAGAGCTCTCACTTATCGCAAATAAATCTCTTTAGAATGAACAAACAAATTCCATGCTACATTTATGTATAATATTGATCTAAATCTGTAAATAAAGACTATTCTTTAAAAAAAATCTATTATTTGGGCTAGGCCCTGCGTGCATTAAACAGCTGAACTGCATTATGGGTGGGGATGCTGATGCAGCCGAAGCGGATGTTAATAAGCCTTATTTTGAGTCATAGACTACCTAAACATAACGGTTTTACGCCAGTTTTTCCTCTGAAAAACTCATTATCTTCAGAATTATGTTAAAATTCTAAATGATAAACACTGCAATGAAATGAGTATTGAAATGAGTATTGAAAGCATTATATGAAATGAGTAATATATAAATATGCATGTATAAATCGTAGCCTATGTAATATTTAAAATCATATTTTAAAATCATATTTTTTTAAATAACACAAAGAAAATTTATTTAATAAAAACTTCGAAATAAAGTTCACTCAAAAAACTACTTAATAATGTACAAATAACTTAATAATTTAAATAATAACTAAATTATAATTTCTTTATTTACTTAAATTCAGTCATTAGTGATGTCATCATGCATCACATCACAACAAATATATAAATCACACCACAGTGTCATCACAGTGGTTTGCTGTAATTAAGAGCACAAAGGCATGGTTTAACATACAGGATTAGGCCTTAGTTCAATTAGGGCATTTAAGTAGGTTTTATAAGAAAAAAATTATATATATGCTAATATGCCTTAGAAAAAATGAATACATTACTGGTGTGCATCTTGAGACAAAACAATGGCACTGACATATTTTAAGATTTTAAGTTGCTTTCAATTAAAACAGCTCAAACATGCATTTTAGTCTGGGACTAGATTTAAGCCTAAACCGGGCCTATATATGGCCAAAATAAGTATTTCTAGACCTTGAAATAAGATGGACTACCGGTAAGTACTGTAGCGATCTATAACTCTTTCCACTAGAGGGCGCTCCTGAACTCCAGAGAGCTTTTTCCATTTGGGGCTAAGTGTTACGACAGACCTTTGCTAATTACGAAAATTATATACAATGATCTTAATAATCATAATGAAAGATTTTGGCGGTGATATATAGGCTACAACAAAATTCAGGGGCCCTTACTCTGTGAAGTAACAATTTAAACTTTGACCATGCTGCATTGCATTTACCGGATGTAAGTTAGCAACCGCCAGTGCTAAGCAAGCATCACACACAATTCGTTTAGCAAATAGAAATGGGATATTGATCTATGTATAGATACTCTATTTCTATGGTAAATCCACAATTTTGTGCTGCCTATAAATTAATCAACTTTAAAAATGTCAGTTTTGTAGGCCTACTTTCCTTCCTTTCAGGTGAGTGAATGTCCTCTGGTCGGTTTTCCTTTTTGTCGGGTAAGGCCATCTGTTCCTGCGGCTTCCAGCGGTTAAGGCAGCTGTTTGGCCAGGCATGAGGGCACGCAGCAGATCGCGGTGTCACGCAGAGACAAAACACCTTTTTACCAGGAAGTTACAGGTAGATTAAACGTTCACACACCAAGGGCCTACTGAGCGAGCTGGCTTACAACATTCCTCTCTTCAATAAAAAAAAAAATGTTCCAAAGACCCAAAATCCATAGAGGAGAACTGTAGGCCTATAATGTAACATTAGGACACTGGGCCCTATTTTTACCAACTACGGTGTATAATGATATGCCTATAGCCTATTTTTTTTTTTTTTTTTTTTTTTTTTTTTTTTTTACGTATTTGTTTACGCTACCTGTTTTGAAATGTTTAAGGATGAAGGATTGAGAATGTTAGCTAAATAAGTAGCCTAGGTCTATATATTTGTATGTTGTATTGTTTTTATTTTGGTAAAATAACAATAGCCTAGGCTACTTATTTTTTGAAAACGCTCTTTACTTTTTATTTTTTTTTTAGACTTTTTATCCTTCATTCATTCAAAACATGAAAACAAATAGGCTATCAAAATGATTTGGCGTAGGCTATATTGAAAAAAAGCAACAACAAAAAAGCAACAATTATAATTTTGTATTTTTTATTAGCCTAACACTGTTCGTTTAAAAGTTGTGGTTGTCTAGCCTGTGATTTCAGTGCACCACAGTGAGGAGAACAAGGTAAGTGAGGCTGCCGAAAAATCCCGAGGCGTTTCCGAAGGGATCCGATCCAGAGAAAACTGAGGTAGAGCGCAGAGACGAGAGCCACTGTTTCCTTCGCAGAAGAACCCGTTTAATTTCCTTCATTTTTCGTTAACATTCTTAATTCAGCGATGGCACCGGAATACTGACATTAATGGCGAATTCCCGAGCAAAGACTCGGTTCTGACTGCTATGTGTGATCCATCTTTTTTGCGCCTTGCATCACAGACCGTACCAGGTTTATGCATTTTAAATATATAGGGCGCTTACATGTACTGTGTACATGTCTCCACATAGATATAATGACTACACTATGTGAGAGGACAACGCTGATGCTGGATGTACCGAAGGATGATGCTTGATAAAGCGGATTTATTCCCGTCGAAGATAAGATGTGAATCGGTGTGGCGTGGGAGAAAATGTCTTTGGCTCCAGCAAGAAAATGAAGATGGGAAGAAGCGTCTTGTCTTGTAGCCCAGTACCGAGAGCCAGTCGTTATTTACACATCTAAATCTGCGTACAATATAATGATACTGACGCTTTGTCTCAGGATTAATCGAAACTACAAAACACTGCAGAAATAGAGTAATTGTGCTATTAAACTCTGCTTGATTTAGTCACCGTGTGATGGGAATATACTGCTAAGGCTTGGCCTAGCTTTATGGAAAACCCGAAGACATGACATGCACACGAAAAAAGAGGAAACGATATTTTTTGTTTTTTAAAACCTGTATTTATGTAGGCTAATATTCCAGCTTCTGGCATAACATTGTTTAACCCGTTCAGCAAAAGACTTTCCAGTGAAACAGGTCTTGTTTCTGTTTTTCAGACGTGACCATTCCGTGTATTAATTAATTAATTAATTATATATATTTTTTCCATTCTATGTTCATAAAGGACGTCGAGGTTCAGCTTGGATTACAATTTGGATTCATGAGCGATTTATTGAACGCGTTGTGTCGGGTAGAAAAAACGCAATTTGCACCTTTTTGTGCGTTTCATTTTTTTATTTATTTTTATTTTTTTAATATTTGCAACAAGCTCCCGTTAAGGCCTACTATCGAGACAAGATCCATTGTCTGGAGGAAGACCAATAATTACAAGTAAGACATCCATCACTTTATGATCTCCATTTGATGTTTTATAATTAACTAGCCGTATAAAATGGGGGATACAATTGTTCGAGCATTTAAAATAAAAATATATTTTATAAAAGTCAATAATAAAAATAAACATCCATGACTCTCGGCATGACGCATAATATGTATACTTAAGTGAAATGCAGGCCTGTTTTATGCATTTGTTAGATCATTGTGTCTCATGCAAAAGCACAGACGCGCGCGAGGAATAAGACAAACAGAGAGGGAGAGACACCGTAGTTCTTCATGATATCTAATGATAACCATGCAGGTCACAGTGCTCTAAGAAGATGTGAATCGCACCCAAGAGAGTTAGATAACGAAATAGCAGTGTTAACACTGTCTGGGACTGTCGTAGCTATATGCGCCCTGACAGAGTCCATACGGGTCATTAGCACTTTTGCGTATTGACTGTGCGAGTCACGTCATTAGCTCAAAGCAATACATTCTTTTCATGTTTTTCGGGTGTTTTACAGAAACCCATTGACAACGCACGCGCTGTAAAACAGGCTCTAGTTCAGTAAACGATTTATGTAGGTTATATCAGTATGGTGCATCGCAAAGCGCACCGATAGGCTGTCACAAATGAAGATGATGGAGATAAGGAGAAAACACTTTCTAAAAGCTAGCCACGAACGACGGGATCGCGTTGTTCTTTTTTATCGTATCAAAACGATAGGTGTGGGAGAGTCGAAATGATTCAGGCTCGTTTGGTTGGTGAATTCCGCGTCGCCTCCTCCCACCGAGACCACGGTAGCGATATTCACTGCTGTTGCTATCCAGCCTTTTACCTCCAACCAACTCCCTTTACACCTGACTCCTCCCAACGACATAGAAGGCCTTCTCACTATTAATGCGAGATAAGAGCACACTAAATCTCTGGAGGGAAATATTAAAGGGTCCGAATAATTAATGTAACACAATGATAACCCAAGGGGCGAACACTGTAGCTACAATGGTGCTTACAAGTCCTCGCTTACGCAAAATGTGTATGTGTGTTTTGTTATATTCTGTAAATTAACACATGTTGTCTCAATTGTATTTGTGTATACATTATCATATATTTTTGCAAGTTTTGTCCACAGTGGGGGTTTTAGCTCTACCATCTTTATGGACTTTTTACCCCACATTATTAAACTATTTGATAGTTACGAAAAAAGTTTTTGTCTGAAAACTGTATGTGTTAGCAACATTTTAAAAATCCAACCTTTTGGCATTGCACCTTTTTGTCTAGAGTCATTTTGCAGTGCATAGCGATAAACAGGTGTTTAGGAAAGTACTGCCTTTTCTACTACCTTACAGTACGGTACAGTACTACCTCATAAGAGACATTTAAATTCATTAGATTACATGTAGGCCAACTGACCAGGTTGTCTTCAAGGCATATAGCCTATGTTAAATGCTGCATTTACTGTGGGAACTATTTGCACTCAAATCGATACAATCTGCATATTGAAAATTTTAATCTTTGGGACATAAAAATGTTAATAGCCAAGGTCACTGAACTACTTTTTTTGTTCTTCAACTTAAGATTTTGACATTAAGCAGCGGGAAAGCATTTGTTTTTGCATAAGTTAAATGATACACACGTAGTACGTTATATCACGTAATATTTACAAAATTTTCATGTTTCTATCTAGAGGCTTCTATAATTGGAAACATCTTCTTAACAATAACAATACGGCTTAATTTCTGAAATTGAATCAGTGGAAGTGCTGATTCAAATAATACCTTTCAAATACAATAAAGCTGTACATTTTGTAAACCACAACAGGTTGTCACAGTATGGCTGTAACATTTTATCTTCTCTATGACAGAAACATTCCCTTTAATCTCCATTCTGGCTGATTATTTCTCATGAGTGACACTTTTTTCCTTCCCAGCTCACCTCAAAGCATACAATTCTGAGTTGCATTGAGGCTTACAAAGACACATACACCGCACAAGGCAGAAGGACCCTGTAGCCTAGCAACAAGCAGCTGTAATTGCTGTGACACAAGTGAATTAGTGTTTCTGCTCTAAAACAATGGGTTGGCACAGTTCTATCTCCTGTTGGACTAAGGTACTCAGTGACTTTGTCATCAGCTGGCGTCTACTTGTAGCTTTCTTGGTACCAGAGAATGTTAGCCAGTGAGGGCTGGCACAAATAAGTGCTGTAAATGTCACCTCAGCAGGTGAAGGTATATGGCCTGGATTCACAGACCAGTGCTCTTTCACACTGAGAGTCAGATAATGCTGTTCTACACCGCAGCAGGGTACATGTATGTTCGGAAAGTATATATGCTCTCGTCTAAATACCACCAACTGCCTTTTCGGTATGTGGGTGTAAATGAGAAAGCCTGAGTTAGGTGGAACTTTCAGAAAAATTTGGTTAAAAGTGGCCAAAATTAATCATGCCGTTATACTAAGTAGAACAATATCACTATATATTCTCAAGCTTTGTTTTGAAGCTCTGCTATGGCATCCATCCCCTAACTCTTTCATTCCCCCCTTCCCCCACACCCCTTGCCCCCGCATCCCGGTCCACATGCCTATACTCAACACATAAAAAGTCATGTGTTGTAGCCTAGCAACAATGAGGTAATTACCATGAAAGACTAGTTGCTGGCATGCCATGTAGCGTGTGGTGGAAACAGCTGATCTGTTCGGCACTAAGGGAGAAGCAGAAGATGTTCCTCAGCATGTTACAGCAGATGCTAAGAGGAGACCTGCTTATCTCATTCAGCAAATTATTAATTGAGCTGTGTTTACTGATGGTGAACACAAATAAAATACCGTTTTTGGTGTCGGATGCTCTTTTCTATTCTTTAGTTTATATTTGATGCATGTACTAAAATATATAGGTTTTAAGATTTTTTTAATTTATTTTATTTAATATCATTAATATTTACCATTATGGAAAATAAATGTTTCATGCACAGTGCACTTAGAGCTGTAAAATAATTAACTTAATTATAGAGTCATTACTTGCCAAACATAAAATGTCCCCAATACTGCAATAGGTGTCTTGAGAAATCACATCTGCCTCTATATGCATTGCCGGACAGATTACTTGCAAATTGTAGTCCGTTACTGATTACAGATTATATGATGAGAATTGTTGTAACGTAAGATTACTCATTTTATGTAATTTATTCTGTCTACATTTTTATTACTTTTAGGCAAAGTCGTTTATCACTCAAATTTGAATAGGATTATTGTGTACTATACTGATATCAGTAGTGTTTTGTAATTTAAGTATTTATCTCATATCTCATGGTGTAATTGAGGGGTGCTTTTGTCCCCAAATTTTGAAGCATCACAGATATGACAATTACATGGCCATTCTATATTGTGAATGTAGTCAAAGCTAAATGGTATTTTTTCCCCCCTTATTATTTTGGTGTTGAATGCATATCTTTAAAGTGTATGTAATCAAGCATAAAACAACAACAACAAAGAAAAAAGCATCAGCAAAGCATCTCTACCTGTCAATCATTTTGGATACAGAACAACTGGTCAACCAGGGGGACATCCAACAACAGCGATGGAACAGTTACAGCTGTAGGTAGTGGAGCCCACAGTGCAGACTGAGAGCAGAGGGAGCGATGGGAGGCTGATGACCTGGAACGCCGAGATATTAGAGGTATCCATAGGGCAGAGGTTGAGCTGGAGCGACCGAGGGCGGAGCTAGCTAAAGCGGAAGGGTTGGTGAGCAGAGGACCACACACAAGTTTGCAGCTAAGATGTAATGATGTCGGATACAGGTGGAGCCGACGCTCCGAGGGAGCCCAGCGTGGGCAAATGCCTGATCTTCCACACTGGAGTCGAGGGAGGAAGGAGCGCAGGCAAGGGAGTAAGAACAATGGGTCTAAGAGGGACAGAGCACTCAGAGGCTGGAGTTGGAGCCATGGGCTCCTCGCCCAGGTGGAATTGGCTCCCAGCAGGTCCTCTGTGTAACCATGCCACTGAAAGAAGGTAGATGTAACAGAGGGACCGTAGGGACAACTGGTGGCAGGAATGGCTGAGGAGGAGAATGGATAACAGCACAAAAAAAAACGGAACAAAAATCCCTGATGGCAGGCTGAAGAGGTGGTGGGAGAGGGAGGCTGGGCTGGTTTAACAGGACTGAAGAAAACAATACATATTCAGGCAAGATGGAAAAGGGACACAAGGAATTTATCTCTCCATAATCACATCACTTCAGTACCCTAGAATTCCACAAGTACCCCTTTTCCACCAAAGCATTTTGACAGCCGGTTCGGAGCCGGTGCCTGCGTGCGAACCAGTTCATTGTGTTTCGACAGCCAAAGAACCGGTTCTCGGCCAGGAAAACTGGTTCCAAAGCGGCACCAACTCTTTGATGGGCTAGAACCGTTCTTTTACCACGTTATGCTTACGCCGGGGCTGGGGACGGGTTTAGATGTGTTCTAAACATCCTTTTTGCCCATTGCAAAGCCAGGAGAAACATTTGCAGAAACACGATGGAGTCTGCCTTTGTAATTGTTATGCTTGAAGTTGGCGCAAGCATTTCTATCTATTTTGTTGAAAACATTATAAGCAAAGAAGAAAACTGTCACAATATAGAACAAATAAATGGAAAGAAAAAATAGACACAAGACAGGGGTACATAACTATTCAGAAAAGATTCCATATTAAATGAAAAGATTAAAAGACTTACTACATATTTCAATTGTTTTTAAAGCCTTCTTGGTACACGAATTAGAGATAATCCCAAAGTAATGTTGTACTTGCAAGCGTTTCTAGCTAAGACGTATGGCCACGTACACACTGATGTAACGCCATCGTTCCCTGGGCGCTCTAGTCAGTGGAAAAACAAACAGGTTCTGAAGGGGTTCGCAAGTTGAACCAACTCCGAACCAACTTTGAACCAGCACCAGTTCCGAACCAGTTCTTTTTTGGTGGAAGGGTGTAAAGGACTCCCACGATGCCGGCTCACACCCCTGGTCAGACTCTCTGTGGTTCAGAGCTTCCAGTCTGCTTGGGGCTCAGGCATAGTATCCGTCTATTGGGTGGTGATGGACTGGGCTCTGGGTCAGGCTGTGGTATGGATCGGGGGTCGACACTTTCCAGAAACCTAATGACGGCCTCACTCCAGATAAGTCCTTTGGTGTCTTGGAGGTCTACTGGGAGGTGATGGTTGGCTCAAATCAAGGCAGGCAAACAAACACAACTCTAGCATTAACAAGACACATTAATACACATGAATTTAAATACAAACAATAAGAAGGGAGAACACAGCAGAACAGAATGACAAATTCATGTATTTACTATGACAACCAAAGACTGGCGGGAACTAGGACAAAGGAAAACAGAAACAAACTAAAAGTCCATGAAAAATAAAACTTAGACAAAAATGACTGAATATATGTGACTGTAGCCTACTTACCCACAAAAGTCCTGAGTAATGCAAGGTTTAGGGGTAGAATCTTACCCAGTTTGTGTCATTACTACATAAAGTGCATAGGTGTACATTCGAAACAGGACTGTAAAATAATGTTTGGGAATAATAGTCGACCATCAGTTTAATTTGAAACCTTAACCTTTTTGGTAAATAGCAAAATGTTAACATGAGTAAAAGTTTTCCCCCAAAAAAATCTTATCACAAGTATGTTTCGACACATGGCAAATATTCGTCATATAAATCTACTGTACCTGAATGTTTTTGGATCATTTTTCACATTATTTATGAATTGCCATAGTACTTCAAAAGTTTTTTTTTTTTTAATTCGGCATTAGTAGTTTGCTGTTGAATTAGTGTGGTCTCCTCAGTGCTCAGTTTATTTGCAAGAAAAAAATTATATTGGTATTAAGAATGTTACTATTTTTTCCTGCATCAATATCACTTCATGATATTCTACTCTTCTTGACCTAAACATGTTTTTTTTCCCAGGCATTACAGAAATTATATACTTTCCCCAAAAGTCAGTTGTATTTGTGTCCATTAAAGACCAGCATTTGTTTGTAACAAATGTTTTGTTCTTTATTCACAGGTGTGGAGGCCAAGAGAGGTGGCACGTTTAAAGGGACGTTCCAAAGTAAACTGTACAAAATGGGGCAATGCATATCAAGCTTCTCTCCTTCCATTTGAGACAACAACGAAAGGCAACCACGAGGACGGACGACAGCTCAGCTGGAGGTGGCGGAGGTGGAGGAGGGAGTGGAGGAAGTGGGGGTAAAGGAGGAGTTGAAGGAGGAGCTGTGCAATTTGAGCAGCAAAAGGGATGGCCAACGGAAACGCAAGCAGTGATGGGCCTGGGAACCCCTTGGCAGCTGTGGTGTCCACAACAGGTGGCATGATGGGTGGAGCACCTTCTTCAGCCGTGTCTACCTATGTGAAACTCGTCCTTCTGGGGCTGATCATCTGCATCAGCCTGGTGGGCAACTTAGTGGTATCCCTGCTGGTGCTAAGGGACAGAGCCCTACACAAGGCACCCTACTACTTTCTTCTGGACCTCTGCCTTGCCGACACCATCCGTTCGGCGGTCTGCTTTCCCTTCGTGCTGGTGTCCATCAAGAATGGCTCGGCCTGGACTTACAGCGTGCTCAGCTGCAAGGTGGTGGCCTTCATGGCCGTCCTTTTTTGCTTCCATGCTGCCTTCATGCTGTTCTGCATCAGCGTCACACGCTACATGGCTATCGCCCACCACCGGTTCTACTCCAAGCGAATGACCTTCTGGACATGTGTGGCGGTGGTATGCATGGTCTGGACGCTGTCGGTCGCCATGGCGTTCCCGCCCGTCTTTGACGTCGGCACCTACAAGTTTATCCGCGAGGAGGACCAGTGCATCTTCGAACATCGCTACTTCAAGGCCAACGACACATTAGGCTTTATGCTGATGCTGGCTGTGCTAATCTTGGCCACTCACGTGGTGTACATGAAGCTTCTGCTGTTCGAATACAAACACAGAAAGATGAAGCCGGTCCAAATGGTTCCAGCCATCAGCCAAAACTGGACCTTTCACGGACCTGGAGCCACAGGCCAGGCTGCCGCAAACTGGATAGCAGGGTTCGGCCGTGGCCCAATGCCTCCCACTTTATTGGGCATCAGGCAGAACTTGCACAACCAGAACAGACGCCTGCTAGGCATGGAGGAGTTTAAGGCAGAGAAACAGCTTGGCAGGATGTTCTATGTCATCACCTTGTTTTTTCTAGTGCTTTGGTCCCCGTACATTGTGGCCTGTTACTGGCGGGTTTTTGTTAAGGCGTGCACCATCCCGCACCGGTATCTGTCAACTACCGTGTGGATGAGTTTCGCCCAGGCGGGTGTGAACCCTATCATCTGCTTTTTCCTCAACAAGGACCTGAAGAAGGGCCTGCTGGCCCACCTGCCTCCCTGTTGTAGAACTCCACCTCAACTGCCCCGTGAGCCTTATTGTGTCATGTGAAGATGAGTGTTCATTCATAATGTTTTTTTTTTTCTGTTCTTTCTCTTCTGGATGGTTGGAAAGTGGACAGCCTGGGGGGAGGGAATAAGAGGTCTGTAATTATGGAGACATGGACAAACTTTAAGAGCTGTTGTGGCCTTTGATTCAGTTTAAGATGCTTTAAAAGGGTGGATGTCACAGAATAAGCATCTACTTTCACCTTAAAGATTTTAAGGGCAAAATGGGCTCCACACTAATGTGTGGTTTGGTAAATCAACTCTTGAACAGGTTTGAAGAACCATATGTTTCGCTTTAGGGTGGTTCACAAATTCACAAATCAACCAAACTGATGGTCTATTTTATGGTGAATGTATGAAGGCTATATCAAATGGCTTCGTATGATCGATCTCAACAAACATTTCCATTTGATTTGGCTCAGTATCTGTATCCCTTTACCAGGATTCTGAGGGCCTTGAATCAAAGATTTGCAAAAATATTCGTATTCATGCCTTGTGAACAGCTGCACTCCTGGCAGAGTAATTTATATTATTTGGACTAATGATTCAAAAATACTCAATGTGCATGTGTATTACCTTATCTTTAAGGGGAAACAAACTTGAGATTAAACTATTTTTAAGAATGAGTGCCAAGCATAAGCCTCTAGGAATGAATGAGGCTGACAAAAAAAGACAAAGTTCCTACAATTATGCTAATTGGTTGGGCTGAATCCTTCCTGTGGCTTCATCAGGCAGGAATTAAGATGCTCATGAAAAACAGTGTGTATAAAAAGCAACTTTCAGAACAAATAATGTTGATTCTAAGGGATTGTAGACAAAAGGAGCTGACTGAAAATATGAATGTGTGTGAATTATGGCCTATTCAGGGTTGTAGGTTCTTTCTCTGAGTTTTTACTGTAATTTATTCTGTTTTTTAATTTGTATTTTTTTCTCTCAGCTCTATTTACTTAATTTATTGAATATTTCATATCATTGCACACAATAACTCATGCCTTTATAATTTCCATAATGAATCTGAATATATGACCATCTTATGATGTTGAAACCAGAAAAGGTGAAGAATTTTACTGTTACTTGTTTTGTGAAGAGACGGATCAGTATTGAATACTGATACGTTATTATGTATTTCGGTTAAACCAACCGATCATTTATCCTTCCGAACGCTTGCACAGAAGATGTTGTAGAGGAGAAGTTACTTGGTCTTTTGTGTTTTGAATTACTTGAAAGAATGTTTGCTAGCCTGTCGGATACAAAAGGTTTTTAATATGTGATTTGCATACATGTATCTTGGAAAGTGGTCATTTCAGACTACATTTTCAATCATGTAAGTGACTGATAGGTTGCATTAGAGGTATTTTAGTTTGCATTTACTGTGTTTTACAGACTAACACAGGATGAAAGTTGTTGGTCAGGTAGTATTAAGGAACCTAAAGTCTGACAGTGTATCTCGGCCTCCTGTTGACGAGAAATCAAACAAAAATCTGATTTTTAATATTGTAATGAAAATATGAATGTGTTTGAGATTAGGGAAGAAAACCATGTAAGGTGTTAGTGGAATGTTTAGATTTCTTTTTTTTTTTTTTAAGTATTCCATTTCTTTAGGAACTAATAAGTGGATGAACTAAATTCCCAAAGGGGTTGAGTGTCAAATGAATTTCCCTTAATATTTTGCACACACCTCAAGAAATCATTGATCAGCCACATTGATTTCTCTGGCATATATTGACTTGAATCAGAATGCTGACCAACGCAGACAGGACAGATTGTAATATTTCCGTGAATGTTCAATGAGATCTCTCTGTAGGGTAGGCATGGGATTGGTAGGAGTGATCAGACTTCCCTTTTCCCGAAACCTGTCATTGCAAGAACACAGAACAAAAAAAAACATCTATGATGAACAGAAAAAGAGGAATAATTCTTTCTGTTATCTGCATTTTATGCCTTACTCCATTACCAAGGTTTATTGTTACCAATGCAAGAATGATCTGAAAGATGTATGCTTCTAAAGACACCAATAAATCATACTAAAACATATGCTGGGGAAAACACAACACTGTGTATTTGTGGATTATCGGTGGACACGTCTCGCTGCCCTTAACAAGCCTCTGGGTTGCGGGTAAGAAGACGCCTGCATCAGCTGCGTTATTGATAACGAATTCACGAACTGCGACATATGGGAGTGTACAATTTTGCTCAGTTCTCTGGAGAGACTTGAATTTACGAAAACAAAACAACAGAGAGACACAAATTGATTTTCCGCGGAATTAAAAGGAACTTCTTGGATTCGTAAGGATTTCTTCGAGACTTTTTTCTTCTTCTCGTCTTTGGGTGGGTTTGGGGTGGGGGACAGTATGTGAATGATGGTTTGGGCTATTGTTGTATTCACCTGTGAATAGGAAATCGCTTGGGTCAGTGTTGGGGGTTGGGTGAACAGGATGTGATTTTGTAACAAGCAAAAATGCCTGGTAGAACATTTTTAGTTGCTTCAGGCATCTTATCTTTTGTAAAATAACTGTGAACCTCTGTGTAATTTCATGTGTATTATATGGACAATGCACTAACTTCAAGTGGGGGGCGGAGTGAAGGGTGGGGTTACGACCCTTGATCGTCATCTTTTTACCACGCATGTGTGTGTGAGTGTTTACGCTGAGTATGAGTGTGTGGATAAAACTGGGTATTCATGAGGAGCAAAGCAAAGGTGTAAGGTCAAGAGATACACCATTTGATAGGAAACACTCCTGTAGTTGATCCACTAAAATTTCACATTTTCAATGCTTCAACACAACTGCAAAGACTACTGAGAGCTGAGCCTTAAATAAGACATCATTTTTATCAACATGGAATATGGATCATAACAAACACTCAAAAACGAACATGTCTTGTTTACCACATCTTGACACTGAGATGAAGACAGACTGCCACAGATGGAATAGTTAGCAGTCATTGTTTGGCCACTTCACCAATACAATTGATTTTTTTGTTCAATTGAATTGTAAATTATAAATTTGTTTGGCAAGTGGATTTTGATATTCAAGCTGCTCCTTTAAACAGCAAGTGATAAGTTTAGTTGACATTCATTTTGAAACAGACAAATATGAGTTTAATTATTCTAACAATGTAATGAATTTGTAAGCAAAACTGTTACATAATTTATATAAGGTTGAGGAAGTTGTATCTAACATACCTATGTCTTCATTTTTTTTTTGCCTTTCATGTTAATTATTGATAGTGCCTGAGTTGATCACAAAATTTTTTTCTGGTTAATCGCAAATAAATGCCAAATTATATTATGAACGATTATGTGATTTCATAATATTAGCTCACTGAACTACATAAATCTTTAAAACTGCTTAGATATGACAAGCCACTCACACAGCTAACTATTATAAGAGCAATAGACAGCACTTATGTTCATTGAAATTTTAGTTGAGCAACTCGGGAGTTGTTTATTTGTGAATGCATGATGAATGAAGGGGGTAATGGAAAAACTGAGGAAAAAAAGAGAAAGAAACGTGAGTCGGCTTTCAGATATCTTGATCTGTAAATCAACAGGATTTTTTTTTTCCAACATGACAATAAAAGTTTACTTTTGTTGCATTTTTGACTCATAATGTGGTCTGATTTTTACTCAATGCTGTATGAGTTCAGGATTGAGTAAGCAATATTCTTGTTTGATTATTGAAGTCTTTATTCTTTTGTCATAATGTTTGTAACCTCTTTGACAGTGAAGTTTGTCAACTTGAAGATTCACATGCTTGGATTTTGAGATGACCTGTGACCTTTATCTACTTGACACTTATGGCAGATTCTCTGCACTGCAGGAAGACCAAAGTCAGCTAAAATGTGTCGGAGAGACTGAACTATATGACGAGTATTTCCCTTTCACAGGCCAACAATTTAGAGTCAACATGAAATCAAAATTTACAATTTTTGTTTCTATATGGAATATTGCAGTATTTATTCTAAATGATTTATCTGTGCACATAATTATATGTATATATATATATTTATTAATGTGCCGTAATTTTAATCAAAATAACTTGCCTTCCCTCTTGCTGCGACATCTCTTTTTTGACGTGTTCACTGGCGTGAGGGTGGGACAACCTGTCACTCACATGACATCACAGCAATAGCAAACCACAACTATCAAACCATCCAATCAATTCCATTTCATGACGGCTTAAATTTTTGATCAGATTGACAAATATGTTCTTTCAGATTCTCGCTCTGTTCCTTCTTTCCAGTTTAGGACATTTGCAAGAATGATAAATGTTTGCATGAGCAATTAATAACATCAGATTGCACCAGGGTATCTTTGCAACCACTTTAGATGCATGCAATCTAAACTTGATGGAGAGGTTATATCGGAATTCAACAGTGAAGTGTTCAGCAGCATGCGGTGGATGAACATTAGTTCACCCGGCGTGAGATTGGCCATGGTTAGATGCTCAGACCATATGTGTAAGGTCAGCTGATTAATGTTTGCCAGTCTGCGCTTTGTGAGATTTGATCCACAGCAAATCCAATAAAGGCAACCACTCGCCCACAGCAACTACAGCATAGCATTTTTTTAGGTTCTACAGAGTAGAAGCTAGGTGTACAAAAAGAGCTATGGATGTATAAATGAACAGAATGAAAGCAGGAAGGAATGAAGACTTCGCCAGCAGAGGGAGAGGGATGAGGAAAGACAGGCCTGGAGGAATCTCACCTCCTCATGGCAGGTTAAAGGTTCTCAAAGCGATCCTGGGTGTTGACGTTCGAATATTTTCAAACAAATCGGAGCTAGACCCTCCCTCCTCCGCATCTCATCTCCTCCCCCTCCCTTCCGTGCTTCCTGAAATAATTGTGAACGTGCATAGTTCTAGCTAATTATATCCTTGTGTGGGTTTGGCGAACATAAGCGTCAATTTAGAAGAAAAAAAAACAATTTAACATTACCCACCTGTCAAGCAAAAACAGAGCAACCTGAATGTCGGACTGGAAGCCCTTCTGCCGCCGGAGTTCTCGCCATCGTTCAAAAGCTTTGCTACCGATGTAAATTCGAAACTTCGCACGTTCTTTATCCGACTCCTTCTTCTTTTTAATTTGTTCCTCAGAACGACGTCTCTTTCTTTGGTCGTGTGTCGGTAATTTTTCAAACTTCCCTCTGATGCTTTGCTGCTCTCCTTCACACACACACACACACACACACACACACCCTTCATGTGCACGCGCACTAACCCCCCAGACCCACCCTTAAATACTTCTTGCCAGTGATTGGCTGGAACACTGTTTGTTAGGTTTCGTGGTCCGGGTAAGACATGATTGTTTTTGTTGCCGTTTGTGGAGCCTGTGGTGTCTACAGAGACCGCGTTTTTTTACAGTGTGTTTAGGGGACAGGCAGCTAGCCGATAGTGAGGACTGAGGAGACGTTTGATGTATGTGACAAAATGTTTTGGCCCAGCATCGCTTATAGAACCTTTAAAGCTGAGCTAAGTGTTGTCGAGGCCAGATGAGTAGGGTTCTACTGCAGCCCTTTGCCATATTCACTACACAGATATGTTATTTATTTTATCTGTACATTACATGTATTCAGTAAAACAGCCTTGTGTTGTGTTTTAATTTGTGGAATAATGATGCTCAACATCCTTCAATAACAAAACAGATAGCTTTCACCTAATTCTAAACATTTGCCACTGTCACAAGGTGAGCTTGTTTTCTTTATCCACAAATGTAGCATTTTTTTTCTCAAACTTTTGACCTTTTGAAAGATTTGTTTTGTGTGTACATAGCCCTTGTTGCATTTTAATCTATACATTTTGCAACACTTTGAACCAAAGGTGTTATGAATACAATAGCACCATCTGGTGGTAAATATAGTGTGTGTATAAACATCTACACACACACACACACACACTATATGTATGTATGCATGTATAGACAGACAGACAGACAGACAGACAGACAGATAGATAGATAGATAGATAGATAGATAGATAGATAGATAGATAGATAGATAGATAGATAGATAGATAGATAGATAGATAGATAGATAGATGTAAGCCACATACAGCATTCTTGAAAGCAGAATAAATACTCCACTCTGTATCAAAAGTAATTTTTTATTAACTGAATAAAAGAATATGAAAAATGCATATTCATTTATTAAAACAGTCCTGAAAATGGATTGAAACAATTTAACACAAATAAAATAAATAAATAAACATACAAAAATAAATTTCAATAAATGTTATAAAAATCTTGCTTTTGTGTGAGCTGGATTAAAACAGATATTTCCGGCAGTTCTTCGCTCCACATTTGCACTCCAAATGGATCCGCTTGATGGATGATTCTTCAATTCCAGCCCGACTGAAATCAGTGTCCATTTTTTTACTCTCCGCATCTACTGGATCAACTGCAGAAAAAATTGGTAGTATACATTAGGTATTTACAAAGTTATATAAAATATAATTTTTACCACATTATCATATTAACAGACCCGCCCCCAAAAATGTTATAAAAGGCCAAATAAAACAATTAAATCCTACTGGTCATCTTGTAGTCAAAGGTGAGCTCTTCTCCTGCTTTGATCCCTCGTTTGGCAAAAAATGCAATTCTGGGAAGTCGCTCATCTATGTTCTCAATAAAAACATTATACACCTGCAAGTTTGGATCACACTGGAAAAACAATGGTAAAGATGTATTAATTGCATGCTTTGTGAATTTACTGTTATAATGTTGGCAACACTACGAAAAATGAACACATGAACTTTTAGAAGCATTTCCCAGACTTGGCAACTCACGGCATTACTGGTTTTCACAAGTCAAGACCTCCAAAAATGTATTCTCCTAAAATTAAAAGAGGTCTATAATGCTAAATGTACTGGGTAAACATCATATCATACATTTTAATTTAATTGAAAAAATTACTTCAGTCACATGATCCTTCAGAACAAAAAAGGTATACGTCATAAAATAAATAATCCTTCTATAAATATCCAATCCTTCTATAAATAAATATCGGAAATTGTTCCAAATTACTTGACAGACAGCCCAGATGATATGTACAGCTAGTTAGTGCTCACGCTGTGGTTGACAAAGTGAGAGACATTTCCATAATGAGCAGCATCGATGGTGTAGACGTCCTCCACATAGTCCAGATCAAACAGGTAGGTGACGCCTTGCTTATCGTAAACCACTCCTCTCCTCTCTGCTTCCTCTGTGGTGATGATCTGATGCAATACACAACTGATAGCAGGTCAACATTCACAATAAATATAAATAAACTGGATTCACCAACTTAAAGGGGTCTAATGTTGTTTCGGACACCGCTGACTTTCATTGTATAGACGAGATGTTGACACAGGAATGACATTTTTGGGTGAACTATCCCTTTAACTTGCTTACCTCTCCGAGATACTCCATAACAAAGTGGTTTTTGAAAATCCTCTGTAGCGTCCGCACTCCCCACCCTCTGCCATTTGCTGTTTTGAAGATGCACAGATCATACTGAATACCTCTCTGCACAACCCTGTTAGCACAGTCAGGACCACATCGGCACATGGAGTTACACTCGTAGATGGGCACCCCGGGCATCACTTTCACCTGCCTGCTGAGATTATATGCTCTCCGATGCTTCAGCAGCCCTGGACAGCAGCCGTCGATCGGCTGAGAGATGCAGTCATCGCACTCACAGCCCACTGTCACTCTATTCACATCCACTCCTTTCCCTAACTTATTGTCATTAACGTAGGTGAAGTTTTCAGGAGGTCCGTCCAGATCGACCTCATTACAAACAAATATGCAGCCCTTGTGCCTGGAGGTCTGGTTCATGAGGTCTTCCCATTTTTTAAGCTTGATGCGTTGTTTGGCCTTCTGGAGGAGGAAGGACACAACGGGGGCGCTCAAAGATGCTGAATCGAGCGGGTCATTGGCCTGAAGCAGAGCTGTCTTCATGTCTTTTCGAAACTGATGCAAGAGTGTTGGGCATTTAAGGTTTTTGAGAGGCTCCCATGTGTTGTCTGACTCTGCATAGCCCTTCCACTTTACCAGGAAGAACTCTCGACCCTGAAAAGGCATATTTTTAAAGGTTACGGTGACATGAATCATGTAAATTGGAAATATAAAATATGGATAAGGAGAAACAGTTGGAGCCACAAATGACTAGATCACAGTTGTACATGCAATGCATAATTGATAACTCACCTTGTGTTTTTTGTAGTTGAACAGATACTCCACTTCATAGTCATTAAAGTTGTTCTTTGTCACACTCAGCTGTTTGCAAACTACCCTTTTTCTGCGGCACAGAGCCTGGAGGTCCTCCCATGAAAGTTTACAAGACACCCTGCAATCTTAAATCATGTGTAAGGGTCTCCATAACGTGTATTCCTTAAGAATAAGAAACAACTGCAAACTTTCACACATGTTAGTGTCATGTAGCACTTGCTGTACACTATTCATGTCATTAACTAAAGCATATTTAAAAGTTCCCTAGTAAGTCAACATTTTATGCCTATTCATTGCTATTTTATATATTTGTCTAGTCATTGCGCACGTGTGTTCATTGTTATTTATAGGAAACGTGCAATGTTCGTCACTATTTGAAGAAAGCAAAATAAATCCTACCTTTCAAATATTGTGCCATGTTCGTCTGAATCAAACACCTCGCCTCGCCTGCAGGCTGGATTTCCACTACCGGATAATGAGAAAATGCGTTGATGATTGGTCGATTTGCTGAGAGAAGAATACCTAATGTTCATTGGTCAATTCTGTGTGTTGACACACAAAACTACGACACTATTTATGTCTAAAGCTGTCAGCAACTTAAAATCACAATTTGTAAGCGAAAACAAAATATAACAATAAAAATATATATAAAAAAATCACTCCTTACTGAAAGTTATATTCACTTGTTTTAATAAACAAATCGTGAAGTTGTTTTCATATAAATTAAATCAGGAAATAGACCTTATTCAGGGTAGCGCCATATTTCCAATGAAAATGAGGCTGTACCTTCTTTTACTGTCTATGGGCTGTACATGTCTATTGTTCAGCTAACAACAATACTATACATACGTAGACACAAATACATAAAAAAAAGCCTTAAAAGTTTTTAGTTTTGAAAATGAAGTGATCATACAGTGCACGCCATTGTAAAGACTGTAAGTATGCCTTACAGCCTCGTTTTCGTCCATTAAAGATACAGTATGAAAAAAAATCTGTACATAACACATCAATATCGAAAATGCACAGTTTGAAGCTGTTATGTTTATTTTAAAAAAACTCATGTTTCTAATAAAAGTGATTAGATTAGACATTGTAGACCAAAACATCCAATATTGTCAAGTTCTGTTTACCACATGCCTTATTTTTCTCTTAAATAATAATAATAATATATAAAAAAAAAATCATAAAAACCCCTTTAGAAAATCTTGAGGGAACCAGTGGAAAATTTTGTCCTATAGCAGCTTCTGGATCAAATGTAAAAAAATGTAGCCTTATTTATTGGGAATCACTAATACATTTTTTATTTATTTTAAATGTACTAATAATAGTAAACTGCAGGTACACTCTAAAAAATGCTGGGTTGTTTTAACCCAATTTTGGGTCAAATATGGACAAACCCGAAATGTTGGGTTAAAAATGTAATGTAAAAATTTAACCCAACGGCTGGGTTAGTCCATATTTGACCCAAAGTTGGGTTAAAACAACCCAGCATTTTTTAGAGTGTACTATTAGAGATTTTAAAAAAACCTTGCTATGCTGATGAGTTTACAATTCAAATGGCATTTAGTTTCCTGGGCCCCACTGGAGTGATAGACATAAAAAGTGGAATAAATTACAAATTTTCTCTTTTTTTATCTATACAACAGTAACATCACCACTGTCCGTATGGTTAATTTGAGCACTGACAGTAATTGTGGGCAGCTCCACACTCATGGAGCCCTCAGGAGGTGTAAAATGTACTTTCTCCATGTTTGTTGCAGTTTTTAGTAGTCTGTGCTGTAAGGGAAAAGGGAAGCGGTCCAGTGGTGCGTGTTCAATTTTACAGAGGCTGTCTTCACTGTCGCTGTTGTATCCGAGGTTAGAATGGCATGGCTCGTCCTCTTGAGAGGAGAGCTGCACAGCGATTGGCAGCTCGTCTTCTGTCTGAATTGCCTTTTCATTGAGGACTCTTATGACATCAATCTCCATTTCTTCTCCCTCGCCGTGACAGGGTTCAACTTTCCGGAATGTGTGATGTGCAAAGAGGCTGATGCAGAACATCTCCACAATTACAGAATAGTGGTAGATTACTGGTAGAAAGACAAAATGAGAGAAAATCATTATTGTAACAAATTAAAGCAGATGTATTCCAGTTTCAAGATCCCAAAACGTTTGGAAAATCGAAGAAAATGTCATATATTTCATACATTGGGAACGAAACAGGTCAGAGAAGGGAGGAGTGCAGGGGATGACATTCAGCGCACCCATGGTCTCCAGAATTCCACTCTGTAGTCCACAAAGGACCAGGACAACAATGATGCAAATAAATTTGGCTCGAAGACTGTATCCAGGCAATGCCCTTTTTGAAGCTTTATAAAACAGCAAGTAGCCATAGAAGGACAGAAACGTGGATACAGCAATGATGGCATTTACATACATGTTGGGATTACCCGAATTCACCTGAGAAAGAGAAAAGGATTACAAAGTCGGATAAGTAGCTTCTCTCTCAATAGGCCTATCGTATAAATATTACACTAGCAATGGCATATGGTACTTACATCCCCGTAATCATATTGTTCATCTGTCCAGAGGACAAGAGTGAGGAAGAACAGGATTGTTCTGACCACAGAGAGCTGAAAAACAGCGGCCATCATCCACCTCACACTGGTCCTAATGGAAAAAAGGTTAAGATTCCACCATTATTATGAAACAGTCCAGTTATTATAAATGACGTAAGTTAAAGATATGCAGGTGTAGGCCTATGCGTGATTAAGTACGCGTTGATGTCAAAGAGAGGAAGACAGCAGCAGCAGCAACAGGGGAAGGGGTTTGGAGACACGTGCTCCCCTGCTAATGCCTCCAGCATGCGGGTCTTTCCACCGAAGAAGTCTTTGATAAGACCCATGAACTTCAAGAGTGTAATGGAGTGATATCTGCCAAGAAATTGAAATACATTCCATACAGATGGACTGGCCATTTGGATCACTATTGTGCGATTCGGTTACACATCATCCAAAACATTACAAAACAACAGTGCAAGTCAAAAGTCACTCACAGAGATGCAATGAAATTGCACAGAGATGAGGAGCGTGGAACATATAGCGCAATGATGGACGTCATCCCGAAGACCTGTCAAAAGTACAAAATGTTACCAAAAGGTGGTAACTAAAGGAAATTAATGAATTGAGTGAGAAGTGTCTGCTTAACTGGATATATTCCCAGGATCCACAGGCAGAGATGCCTGCGCCGCTGAGAGGGGACATGACGCAGAAAAAAGCCGATCTCCTCCAAGAAGAGAGCAAGCAGCAGCACAGCAAACACAGCAGGAAGGAGGAACAGCCAGAGATCGTTCTTGATCGCTATAAGCAGAACAAGCAACACCACATTCTTTAAAAATAAAGCTTCCAATAGGAGATTTTTAAAGCAATGCCACGGAATAACCATTTTGGGTTCCCAAAAGAATCTTTCAGTAAATAGTTTTAATAGTCTAAGCTTTTTCCACATACAAACAACAAGTGAAATGGAAAGGTTCCATGGATGTTAAAGGTTCTTCAAGGAACCATGGATGCCAAAAAAAAAAAAAAAACCTTTATTTTTGAGACTCAAAGTCAAGTGACCTTCCTTTATAAAGTGCTTTTAACAATATATATTGGTTTAAAGCAGCTTTACAGTGATACTAATTAAAGTAACAGAGATTGTTTTGGTTTTACAGCAGCTCTAGAATAAAGTTATTGTATTACTAGCTAAGTAAGTTTTGATTGATTCACTTCTGTTACAAGGATCAAATAATTTCCCATCCTGGTATACCCTTTCATGTGTCTAAAATGCTCAGAGGCACACAGCTTTGGAAACCAGAGAAAATAAAGAAGAAAAATGGGTAACAATGCTATAGATGTCTCAAATGGCTCAATATTGTTGACTGATGAGCGGTTTCATATGTGTTGGGTTTATTTCTACTGAATTTACAAATCGTACAGCGTTTATTTATATCCATGTGTTACATTGCAGCATACTCTCATTCCTGTCATTTTCCAGTGAAAATGATTTAACATTGTAACACTGCATGGTTAAAGCAGCAAACCGCAGAGCTTACATATTTTCATCATCATCATGTTGTGTTAAACCTCTTACCTTTAAAGAAGTCAGATGACAAAGGGATCCCACCTGCCATGAACGTGCAGTTGTCCACCCTCCGCATTGTTCAGTGAAATCTGAAAGACCTGTGAAACAGAAGAGCTTCAATTGGGAGCCCTCAGATGTCAGGATCCAAAGAAGTAAACAAACGCTTATTTGTTAATTAGGTGCAAACCCCTGTTCTACAGAAATAGTGAAAGATTTACATAAATAGGCAATTGATTTATTGTTCAGGTAATGGCAAATCTATACCAAGGTGGCTTCTTATTGCCTAAGGGATGTCTTTCTGAGCTCACTTATTAATGATTGACGCAAACACAGGTAGGGCGCAGGTAGAGGGCCAAGTCCATCTTCCCACAAGTCTCGGACAACCAGCATTATTTATGCTGGGAAATACAGTACGTGGGAAATGTATAAACATTTAATAGTTCTTAACAAAACAACAAGCATATTTGAAGAACTGATGAAATATATAGCAAACAGTCCTCTATCTGTAATGAGCAATTTTACAATTTTATAATTTACTTTAAATTAGGCCGATAATATAATTTCAGTCATTGGTCAAGATTCATGTAACAAGCAGAAAAAAAGTGGCTGGTTACTAATAGCCCACTTGATAAAAAATAATCTAACATGAATTGAAGCTACTTAAAGATTGACAGTTTGAGTAATAATCTCATTTTGGAGTTAGATGAGGAATCTGAAACAAACCAAAATTTAGCTTTAAAGGAAAAATCTGTCATTTACTCACCCTCATGTTATTCCAAAACTGTATGAATTTCTGTCTCCTGATGAACACAAAATACATTTTAAAGAATGTCAGTAGCCAAACATTTGATGGTCCCACATACTGTAGAATTTATAGGGGCCATCAACTATTTGGTTACCCTTACACATAGGCTATATTCTTTAAAATATTTTTTTGTGTTTAGCAGAAGAAAGAAATTCATAGCCCACCGACAGTTTTAATTGGAACAACTTGGTGTGTAAATGATGACCTAATTACATTTTGAGGTGAACTAAGGTATCCCTTCAAGTGCATTGTTGGAATTTTCCACATTTCTGTGTTTTTTTTACTATAATGCTACTTTTGAAAAAGTGGAGAATCTCAGGATCAAGCCACGGCTGGGTGTTCTTTTCAGAGTCTCTGTTCTTTCTTTTGATATATTACATGTTCAGTTATTCATACAACAAAGAATTCTGGGGGCCATGAAAATTTCGTTAACATTTTCAAAAATGCTGGAGGTGGCTGGCAAACAAAAAAACGCTAGCTGGGAAAAAGTTAATGTTTCATCAGGATGCAACTTGTAGTGCGTTTGAGTGAGGGACTTTTATTTTAAAATCGATTATCGAAGACAAACCCGGAAGTCAAACGAGAGATTCACTTCGTAAACATTGATGCAGGATGCCTTAAAATTTAGCTTTTTAAATGAATAACACTTACTTATATTTAATGGATAATGTGATAAATAATACTTTAAATAAAATGCAACGCTGCGTTTAAATTGCTTTGAGCTAAAAGTAAAAACTGGTTTGAATAAACAATTTACTGAAATTTTATTGAAATTTGATTTCGTTGATAACAGGTAACTAACGTCGGTGATTTTACAGAGCATTACATTTGATCACTAATCGCCGAACAGTGAAGTGAACCGAATAATGAATGGCTTTGAATTGTTTTAAACAGAACTGTGGCAGTCAGTATAAAGCGATGGAGAAGCAGAATGATGTGGAGGTTCATGAGATGAAGTCGGGTGCAGCAGCAGAAGCGATTGCGGAGTCTCTCTCATTCCCAGAAGTGTACCGCATGATTCAAGCTGGGGAGGAGATTCCTGGACTCCAAAAACTGGAGATCAAACCTTGTCAAGATAAGCCCACGGTTTCTCAGATGCCCAGAAAGTCAAAACCATGGGAAAAATGACTGTTTCCTTATAATAAAATATGGACTAGTTTACAAAACATATTGCTTATGCAAACGTAGTAAAAACTTAGTTTGCTTTGCAGTATATGACTTTAATACATGGCACATGTACAGCACAGCACACATGATGCAAAATAAATCGTGCTTTGAGAAACTGTCTTTGTCACATTTAGCATAATAGTGGTACTTGCAGCTTAACAGCTTTGGCCAGTTAAGATTAAGTGAGGGCTATGTCACCGGACTCAAACCCAAAGCTTCTCATGACTGTTAAGTCGTTCCTCATGTTCTTGTAAAGGGAAATGCAAAAGGTTGACACACATCCTGCTTCAGCGCTTATTAGAGGAAGTGAACTTCACTCACAACTGGTCAACAAGCAGCCAAATGTACAGATCAGAAGCTAGATAACAGCAAAAGTTCTGGAGTATACCAATAGAATACAATACCTGGTTTTGTTTACTCGTTATTGGCAAGTCAGAACTCAGTGGACTGCTTTATACAAACAGCCTTTGATAAGTATTTATTTTTCATTCACAAAAATAATTTTGTTTTGATGGTCAATAAAAAAATCTGAAAATTCAAGGTATACAACGTCCCTGAATAAAAAGACATTCAAAAGTCAAAGCCCAAAATGATGGACCAAAGGCAAGTGCAGCAGAAATCAGCCGGTATGTGCATTTGAGAGTCCAACAGGGTCATTTCTTCTTTAAAAAACCCTGATTGGTTAAAACTCTTCTGGTTCTGCTGCCTCATCCTCTGGAATCACAAAACCGTCCTGTTGAAAGATGGGGGGGAAGAAAAAAATAAAAAAAAAAAATCACAGAACTGAGTGGTTTGATGAATGTTAAGTCTCAAACGATCTTTAAAAACTAATATACACTTACGTCTGTGGCATAGAGAATATCCACAATCTTTTGCAGTGTAGGATCACCCTCACCCTCTTTTTCTTGGCAGAGGAGCTCAATGGTTCTCAGTTTGCCAAAGTAGAAATCCCTTTCCTTTTCCATGTCAGCAATGGTGGCCTTCAGGTCATTAATCTGAAATTATAAAATTAACATCTGAACAAAGTGAAAATATAATGCTAAAGCCTTGATTTATTTCTTGTAAATTCTTACCATCTGAGTAAGTGCTCCTTTCTCTTCATCACCACCGCCTCCTCGCATTGCTGCTGGAGCCGTCTTTGGTGCAGATTTAGGTGCTGTGGCTGAACGCTGTGGAGCTGAACATCAACAGGACATCCATCACCTTGTTATACATGCTTGTCAAATTGCCTTAAGGATAAGGGTTAAATCCAGCATCAAATTTGCTAAATTGATAGATTCTTAAATATTTTTTCACAATCTTAAAGCTGAAATGATAATATAATATTCTAACAATAAGTGCTGTCGCCCCAAAAAAAGAACTGCATGACTGTTATTTTGAAATGTGCAATACTTCAAAATTCACCATAATCACCATAATGTGAATGAGAAAATACCCAGAGGTGAATCAGCCTAGTTAGTATATAGGTGAACACTGAACAGGCAATGTGCCTAAACTAAACTAACTGGTAGTTCTCAACATCTTACCAACAGGGGCCATTGGCTTGACTGCAGGTGTGATGCTTGTGTCTGAAGTAAACAGAAAAAAAATCCATGCAAAAGCAACGTAAGGCTCCCGCCATTCTCGCACATGTCAAAACAGCTAAAGCATGTACAACTGGCCCACTGGTGCATGACTTGGTCACACCCACATATTCTGGGGTCATAATCCACAACAGCTGCAGCTGCCATGCAACTGTTCTCATTAGGACAGCTAGCTTCCGAATAACACCAGTCCCACATACTTCGAAGAGGACTATATGAACCCAAAAAGATTGATGCTGATAATTGTTCATTAAAAATGATTAGTATCCATTAAATGTTAGTAGGTGATTTATGGATGCTATTTTCCCCTTAAGGATATGCCTAAAAAGGCTGCAATGGTATTGAGAACTACCTGTTTGTTCTCGCTCCTTACCTGAGCTTGGCTTCCTTGGCTTGTTAGCGGTGGCTGCTGCTGGACTCGGATTGCCAGCCATTTCTTGCCCCTGTCGAGCGGCCACCGGATCATATTCCTTCCCATCATAGTTTGCGTCAAAGAACTTCTTAAACCACTGCACAAACTCAAAGTTGTCCTGGAACTTGCCCTTTATAAGCTTGTCAACAGGAATAATCTAAAGAGATGTCAAAATAACAAGCAAAAAATGAGTTGCACATTAGACATTGTGCATCATGAATATATTTTGTGTAACAAAGCGGCTAAAAAAGTGGCTGGTTGACATACTTTGCTAACACCCATCTTTTTGAAACTGGCTTGAATAAGTTTAAAGTTGTGGATGAATTCATGCTCAAGTTTGGCCTGGAATTTCACTTTCTTTAGTGGAATACAAGATGGGAACAGCATGTCCATGAATTGACAGTAGGCAGCACCTTAAAACACATTAGTAAGACAGTCAGATCCCAACCTAGAAAAACAACTCATCCCCCCTCCACAGTACTATCTTTGTTCATTCTCTCACTAATGTGACCCAGATATTGACACAAACTTAGGATTCAAATAACAGGTCATGTCATTCTAGGACATCCTACTATTTCTATACAATCGTTATTATGGTCAAAATACACACTAGGCTTTATGTTTATCTCAGAGACCCTGTCAGTACTTAATGATGCTCTAGTTGGGAGTAAGAAGTGAAGGAGCCAGGCAGCTGGTCACTGACCTGAGCACAGTTGCTCGATCTTGGCATGGTTCATCTGTAAAGACTCGTTTATCCATGTGAGCATGTCATGGCGGCTGAGGTTTTCACTCGTCACTGATGTCGAGAACACGTTCACAGCCATGGCTCAGACAAAACCAATTATTTAAAGCTGATGGAGGCACTTTTCCGCTGTAGTTGCTATAACAAGAGGTTGAGTTAAGAGTTCAGGCTTATTTCCTTAAACATACATTCACACCCTTTAGCCCATCTACATCATCTTTACTTCCTACTTAATATCACTTCAATGTGTGGCTGTACATTCACATCCATCTAACGTCATGAGTTTCAGGTCTGAATCGAGCACATTAACGATACATTTGGAATATAAAATGGGGTAACAGTTAACGTTATTTGTTTTAAAGTTGGTCTTTAGTGAATTTTGTATGATGCCCATTGAACGCTCTGCTTTAATGTTAAAGTTGTAAACTAATCTGTCAGAATTATTAATCGATTATTCATATATACGGTTGATGCTCGTCTTGTAATGACCGTTGTCTTTTTAACTGTCGAACATTTAAATCACAAAATTAAAAGGTAACATTAAAAAGTATTGTCCTAAGTGAGCAAGTCTACCATTAAAGAACAGTTTTTCTGTGTTTCTGTGTCACAGATCAAATCAATGCTTTTATCTTACATTTGGTTCTGAAAGTCCAAACTATGATGGGATGTGAGTGAACCGGACTGTAGTTTCACCGGCGTGTCGTTCGTAAAGTGCCGCTTCTGCAGCAAGCTGGAAACTGGGCTGGAAATCTGCAACCACACCACAGTAGAAGCTTACTAACTAATCATACATGTCAAAATAAAAGTCACCATCCAGCGCAAACATATAACTAAATACTGCCACCTGTCAAAATAAAAGTAACCATAAACAAAATAAAAGCCACTATTGTAAAGTTTGGTAAATTTATATATGTATATCCACAAAAAAAGACTTCTTTTTTTAACCAGTAGTTTGAATTAATACATTTATGCTTTATCATTTTAACTCCCTTGGAGGCAAGTTTTAGTAGTTAATATATATATATATATATATATATATATATATATATATATATATAATTTCTAATTTCCATGACTTTCTAAGCCCACACAAAATTAAAAACAATCCATATTTCCATTTTTCCCCCACCAATACTGTTATTTTTTCTCATTGTTATTTAGGTTATCAGTTCAATGAACTTATCTGTTAAATATTCTTTTTATTATTAAACTAATTCTTGATTTTATTTTTTAAATATTTTTTTTCTCACTTCCAAGCACATTACTAAACCAGCAACCTAATAGAAAAATTAGGGTTGATGAAACACTTAAAATAACATATCAATTGAAATAAAAAGACAGATACAAAGGGTTGGTGAAATTTATTTTTCATCACTGATGTTAGTACAAGCATGGAATATTAAAGTTAGGCAAGCAGACTACAGCAAATATCAAAAGCTATTTAAACAAAACCTGTCTTGTCAATCATCAGTTGAGAAAAACATCCTAGATCTACAGACAAAATTAGCATTTCATTTAGCACCAGAAGACATGGGTTTTGAAATACCCATTCAAAAAAAAAAAAGAAAAAAAAAAAGAGGTATTAAGGGCAATTTCAAGGATACAAATATATAGTATATTCTGTTCACAAAGTATTGAATAAAAATAATCAGTGTTACATTAAAGATCATCCTATGAGGTCCTATGAGGCCTGCTGGTGTTGAGAAGACCTGAGGGAGTTATTTCTAACGAGACAATACTGCACCTCAAAACTACACAAAGACCGTCATTTCACAACAATTACATAGAACACAACACAATTCTTACTGTGATTTTCTAAAGCTTTGCTACAAGTAGTAGACATCCAAAATGAATCAAGACATGTAATCCAGTTACTGATCTTTCACCCAAAGCTCACACATACACCTCAAGCTGGCCCATGCCGTACTCAAATTTAATCAATAGCAAGTTTCAGTCAGTTGGTATCATGTTTTAAAAAATGGTCAAAAACTAAAGATCAGCTTTGACCAGTGACAAGGTCAGAACCACAAACACAACTATCTGCATAATGCTGAAAACACATGATTAACAACTAGAAATAAAACAATTTAGACACATTCTGAAGCACCTCATTTCACACCGACAGTTTTCAATGACCACAATGGAAAGCAAAATGTATTCTGAGACTTTTCAATGGTTAGATATAATTTAGACACTTGCACTAGACAAATGCAAAGCCAGAATTATTCCCTTTTATGCAATCTGAAGTCATGCCAGTTAAAATCATTTAAACATTTGTCCTACAAAAACATAGAGCCTATCCACTTAGGCACTTAATATTTAAGCCCTTGCTCACATTGCATCGTGTTCAACAAAAAGGCCTCACAGTTAATGCAGTGACTAACTCTCACATAGATGGAGGTATGCTAAACCCTTACTAAAAACAACACTAGCAATGCTGACGTGACCACAGTTTTAGACCATCAGCTCAAGGCCAACAGTTTTAAATCAGAAGTGCATACAGGTAACAAATGGGGTAAAAATGCAAGTGTTGCAACCTTAATTCTAAGGGTTGATGACCTGTTTATTGTAAAAAGATGTGATAGTATGGTCTAAAATGCTAGCTCAAGGCAAAAAAGTAGTCCTAAAAAAGTTGGATCACACGGCAAATTGTTAACATTAAAAAGCAAGGAGAGAAAAAAGCTAAAACTTTAGAAGGCATCTCAACTCAAACCTATCAACAGGCCAAGGCTTTCACTAAACTAGAATTGCGAAGACAACATTTGTGCTTCTGAATACATGGTGAACATGATGTATGGGTTATGTATTCCTATAATCAAAGTGATCTATGGTGTGCATGAACATTCTTTTCAATTAAATAAATTATACTGAATAGGAAAACATTTAAGTGTTGACTTAGTACAGTTGTCCAATGGCCAAACATTCTACATTATAAAAACAGCACCGTAGAATGACACTTCCAATCATTATGAAAAAATTATGTAAATGTTTAACAACAGGACATGTTTATTCCTAAACAAGGAAAAGTTTTGATTAAAAAATGTGATATAAAAAGCTGACATGTTAAAGACGGATTTAGATAAACTAGACAGAACTAATATTAATTTATTCATTAAATTATAAATAGGCATTCCTCCAGACAATGAAACAATCACAGAATGGTACTGAGGTAGTGGGTGGAGAATTGTGTGGCTCTCTTCAGCATTAAATCATTTTAAAAGCACTTAAAAGTTAAAAATGACAGTACTTATGATGTTCGAAATATGATCCAAAAGTGTCTGTGCATTCCTAGGATCACTGTTCAGGATAAAACACTTTTTAAAAAAATAACAGATTTTTTTTTTTTTTTTAAAAACAACATTAAAAATGAAAATATTCTGTGATGACAGTATCTGCAGAAACCTTAAAAACAAAAATCAAATTCATTTATCTGAGAGATTTGATTTAGACCTTCCGGTGCCAGAGGACGGCTTTACTCGCAAGCAAAGTAATCCTTTAAAGGGGCAAAGAGGTGTCGGATCACGGGAACACTCCAGGATCGCCCAAGGACTTTCTGTCTCTGTGCCCGCCCCATATTATTCACATCTGTGTAATGCTTTGGGAACCCAAATATTCTGAAAGTGCAGACAGGAATAAAATATCAATCATTTTGTCAAAAATCAACATTAAGCAGCTTTTTAAACAAACCCACTAACTTACTGTATGCAAACCTGACAAGACCAAAATTTGAGTAAAATTAAATTTAGATAGATAGATAGATAGATAGATATCTGACCTCTCCATTTCAGTGCACCAAAGGTAGTCCTCTTTTCCATTCATGGTGACCGGTAGAGGTCCCATCTTTCCTTGTTTGATCGAGTTGGACTTGGTGGTAATTGTGCGAACTTTGTTGAACTGATGATACAGTTAAAAAAGGCATTTTATCAAATCATTTGTTAAAAGGACAGAAATACATCTTATTTGGTTTTGACAATTCTAACATCTTACTTAGTTGTGCCTAAATTTGTGGCACCTTCCAAGTCTAATATAAACAGTAACTTGTGCATTTCTTTCATTTCATGTGTAAAACATTAACTTTTCAGTCAGAAAATACAATAAATCCGTTTACCATTGCAGTTCGTCCGATCTCCAGGCAGTCCTGAAGATCTACTTTATCAGTCAGTGAAGTAGCAAGTGGTCTAAAAACACAAAATCAAGTCTTCAGTCACATTAATCCATCTATTACGGAACACGCATAGATTTCCATATGCTTGTGTTTTAAAGGTATGTGTGATTGTGTGCGTGCATTTATACCTGTTCATTCCAGGTAAATTTCCCCAGAAGTAACGGGCCCTGTGGGCTGGGCTTACTTTCACAGCATCAATCATCACAGGATTACACTGGAAATAGATAAATGCGTGAGAATTTATAACCATCAAAAGTAGTAAGATGCTCGTCTCAGTGAAAAGGTGTTCTCCCTCAACAGCATGTATAAATGTATGGTATGAAAGACAACGTATGGTATGCATTGATTTTATTGATTTATACATATTTGAGTTCAACGCTAACAAAAAATTTTTAGCTTAATGTGTAAGCCTGAAAAAAAAAGAGTTTTTACTTCCAAGAAACGGCAGATATCAGCCTTGTCGTGGGCACTCATCGCTACCACATTCTCAAAGAGCCAGAAAAATGGGCGATCGTCATCCTCTTTTGGCCTCATCATGGTTAACATGCGGTAATATTCAAAGAACAGCCGACCTGTGCCTTCTAAAAGAAGACAAGAGCAAATAAATAAAACAAAATAAATTACTTTTTTATAATTAGGTTATATAAATATCTTTTGATGTAAAAGACCAAACTCGGATGTACCGAAAACTTCACAATTCTGTTAAATTTTAATTCAGATAAGTTATCTCTTACCAAAAAGACCTTTTCTGGCTGGATTCACCATGGACAGGTCATTACACGGACTTCCACCGATCAGGAGGTCAAATGGCCCCCACTCCGCCAGCTACAAAATGGTGACAACAGGGAACTTTAAAAGGGATCTTTTCACAGTAACAGCCCTTTTGCTCTTGCAGACACAAGAAAGAGTGTTTTTAAAATGGCATCATCAAATCTGGTTATGCATCAAATTCCTTATACTACTTTAAAAATGTCTATGAAGTATGTGAAATAGTTAATATGCGATTATGCGATAATGCTCTATACTGTACATACATGCTTCCTTGTGATGGTCCGGACATCCTTCACATATTCAATCAAGCCCTCATGTTTGATCATCCCGACCGCAATGGAGTCTTCACAGATCTCAGAGGCAATGTAGCGGTCTAGCTTAAAGCCCAAGTCTTTTAAAACCAGATAGCCTACAAAAAAAAAAAAAAAAAAGAAAAGATGCAAGTATGAAAAACCACCCTTGTTTTTGTCTTCAACTCCCACAATGCATTGCCATTGCATAAACCTTAAGGTAAACAAAGTCAAAAAACAATAAGTGCTGTTTTGCAAAAATTAAAAAGAAAAATTGTTGAATAATATATACTGGCATTATGACAGATTTTTGTATTTTTGGCTGGAAATATTCCAGTAATTTTGAAGCGTGCAGACCTGTTGCAATCCCATCAAACAGGGAGAGGACTCTGATTGGACGACGCTGATGAGCTGGAATAGAAGGATACACTCGGTGTGGCTCCTAAACCAAGGACAAAAACAATTTTCTTTATATTAATACACCATTCTGCTTTTAATTTATTATTTAATTCAGCCAGGATGCATTCAATTGAAAAATGGACAGTAAAGTATTTTACTTTCTAACATGTAAATGTTCTTTGCATTTTCTATTCATCAAGAATCCTAAAAAAATAACAAGCATTCACAAGAATATTATTTTCTTAAGCACCAAGTCCGTATATTAGAATGATTTCAGAAAGATCACGTGAAACTGAAGAATGGAGAAATGGTTGCTGAAAATTCAACAGGAATTTTAAAATAAAAAACAGTTCTTTTAAATTGTAACAGTATTTCAGTGTTTTTACTGTATTTTTGTATTGTATTATTGATAAAATAAAAAAATGCAGCATTCGTGAGCATTAGAGGCTTCTTTAAAAAAAAAAATAAAAAAAAGAAGCTTTTGAACGGTAACGTAAATCCCAAAATAAAAATTGGACTAGATGGAACACAAGATGCAAAGAGTGCCACTGGGCGTATAAAGTCTATATCTCTTTCGTTATACTAATTGGACTACTTGGATATCTAACACAAGAAGGATAAAATGGACACTCACAAATTCAAAGGCACTGTTATTGGCGAAATACTCCTGGACACGAACACTCCAGTCAGGCCTGAGCTTGAGCACACCATAGCACTTTGAGGGCAGGCAAATGTAACAGCTCCATGGGTCAACCTCCTTCAGCTTTTCGAATGTCCCCGGTCCCACCAACACATTCAGACAGTCTTTACAGAAACATCTGAGTAGAGTAAAAAAGACAGTAAAACAACCTGTTTTGATAGTTAACATGACATTACGGTTTAAGTTAGTGCAAGTTTGAGTTCAAACCTGCAGCAGCTGGCATTTCCACAGAGAATGACCTCTTGTCCAGCACAGCACACAGTGCAGTATGACTGATAGCCATCCTCATCATACCTGTACAGCGTCTCTGTAAAGTTCTCCTACACATACATATAGTGCATAGAAAAATTACATTCTGGCCAGCAAAAGCAAGTAGCATATAGATTTTGTGATTCGGTAATAAAAAGATAAGATTTGAATCACACCTTGCACTTAAAACAAAGGCTTCCTTTGAAGAGAGGATGGATAATTTCAACGTTGTCAGTTCCACAGGACAGGCAGAAATCTGGGGAAAGAGCCATGGGAAAAGTCATTCAGTATCGTTTTCTTGCAATTGATTAAAAATAAAGGACTGAGCAATAAGAATTGTCCCAAAGGGAAAACTAAGAAAAAATAAAATGAAAGGTATGATTTATTGTGGTGGCAGCTGTGAAAATATACACAGTTGCACATGCAAATTTAATCTATCATTTCCAGGTTTTCTAAATGGCCTTGTAGGAAAAACTATCATTTGAATTATTGTTGAGCCCTGAAATAGCTTTAATAATTAGCTCAATTTATGAATATGATATAAATAAAGTAAGAAAAGTGACTCACCTTCAATATTTCTGCCTTTAACAGTTACCGCCTCGACCATTTGATCTGAGAAGAAAGGGAATAAACAATGTGTTATGTCCTCTTTCCAAAATAATTTAAACACAGTTTTGTGTTAATGTTTTATGAGACCAAAACCTGATTTATCCTAAGTTCTGGCTTCTATGCAGATTGATATAACTAACCTCTGGTGTACACCTGAGTTGATGGTCTGGATGGTCTGTTCTTGCAGACATACTTCCTCTTGGCTGGAGGCTGATAATCAGACACAGAGGAATCCGACTCGGTTTTATTACTGGTAGAGCTGTCTGTGAAATGGGAAAGCACATGGAACTCTTGTTAATCAACCCAGATCATCTGTGCATAATCCAAATTTCTGATCAATGTGAAGTCACATTTTGAAGTCACACAATTATTGCATTTTCATGACAGATGTCACTTTTGATAATCTACGTTATTGGGCCTGTTTACACCTGGTCAGGTTCTCTGATCACATCGATTTATGCTAAAAGAGTAACGTTTGAACTTGGCGCACAACTTAATGACAACAATATTGACGCCTCTCACTGTTCAAAACCTGGGCTGGGCAACCGCGTTCGTAATTACGTTGTGCGTCAAGTTCAACGCATCGATTTACTCTTTTGGGGTAAATCGATGCGTACTGCCATCCGCCGGAAGCTAGTTATTTTAGTTGATAAAGTTACATGACATACAACCATTCACTGGCATTATAAAGCTTTGAAGAGCCAGGACATTTTTTAATATAACTTAATATAACTGATTGTATTCATCAAGAAGAATGTCATATACACCTAGGATGGCTCCAGGATAAGTAAATAATGGGATCGTTTTTATTTTTGGGTGAACTATCGCTTTAAGTAGGTGGTCTGAGAAGCATTTCAGATGAAACCGGACAGGTTTTAAATGCATCTGGTTGATTAAACAACATATGTAAATTTTATTCCTCCCGAAAATATAAATGAACGTGTGAGAGTGTGTTAAAGGCGATATGACATGTATACTGCAACACTCATCACCGCAGATGAGTATTTCTTTGACAAGCTGACGTGCAAACTGCCGCAAATGAAAGAAGTCGCAGACCCTAAACACAAAATCATCCTCATTAAAAGTAGTGAAACTAAATTATCCTACCACTCTCCCTCCTATCACAGTCTTTGATATTGAAATTTGCTGATAAATAAAACGCAGCAAATATCTGTTGATTTCATTGACGTGAACTCTGTTAAATTTGCATATAGCACGGGAATTGATCTAAAGATTGGATTTAAATTTTGCAGACACACATTTAAGTGGCCATGTGTAAATGGAAACATTTCAACAAATCAGATAGCTATTTGATCACAACACATGAAGTGACCAGCTGTAAAAAAGCCCATTATGAACTTTCAAAATTGCTGTCAAATACCAATTGCTTTGTTTTTTTCAACTACAGATATGTTTTAGATTTTGTACATACCTATAAGAGGCAAAAAGCCATCAGGACCCATGGGCTGGAAGCCTCCAAATGCCCAATCAAGCATTGCTTTCACTTCTTCCCCTTTCTTCTCTGGGGGAGGGAAAGTTTTCCCACAGCGCTCACCTGCCAACTACACATGAACAACAACATAATGCAGTATTACAATAAGAATAAAATAAGAACTGGTACTCTATTTCCAACCATAGTTGAGAATGGTTAAATTAGTATCTTTCCACTGTACCTCCAGGATTTGGTAGATGGCATTCTTGTATGTAGGTAGACCTTCATAGGATTTACTACAGAAGCACTTTGCAAATGCAGAAAAGGGCAAAAGTCCCTCTGTATGTATCTAAGATTAACAAGAGATGCATCCTTCAGTGTGAAAAACTGGATCTTTTGAAGAATGCAGGAAAAAAATGTCTAGAGAATAAAAACTAACCTCTGAAAACATGCCATCTCCAAACCACTCTACGCGCCTCATGGACACAGGAGGAGTCCTGCCCTTCCAGGCCACCACCAGTCCAGGCCACCAAGAGAAGCCCTTCACTTTTCCCCACACTAGCTCTCCAATGGCATAACCTTTCCCATCCTGCACAGGGAAACAATAAGTAAATGCTAAATACATTCATGTCACATCAAATCAGTTAAGAAATGACTGTACAAGCAGGATGAATATGACTTCAAGATGTAAGAGCAATTGTCAGAGCAATCAAAAGTAAACTATTCTATTTCAGATGCTCCAGCCACAAATGGACAGTGCCAAATCCAGCGTAAAAAGTTTCAAACATTTTGTGATCACTCAAACCACATCCTGAAGTAATTAAAAGAATTCAGAGAACGTATGCAGTGACGCAGATCATTTACTTTAGATACAACGTCTGTTAATGAATCTATGCAGATCATGTGAAACACACATTTGTACGCAATATAGGTAATGTATGTCAAGTTAAGTCTCCTTTATTTATATAACACTTTTTTACCAGACAGATTGTTCCAAAGCAGCATTACAGTGATAACAGGAAAATAATGTGACGATATTAAAGAAATTTAGAAACATAAAAGAATTACCTGGTATGCTTGTTCTTTTTTTCCAGGTCTGGGGCTCGGTGTTGTATTCGATGCAGAAGAACGAGCATTGTTCTTCACCTATAATTATTACAAAAGTTACTTTAGTGAGACACAAAGGAAGCATCTAAAGTAAGTGCAATTAGACTGTAAACATTTTGTGTGGAAAACAGACATAACGCCCAGTTTTAATGAAGCCTCTGCGGATCTTTCTGTATGCAAGCTTCCACAATGCTAAAATTCTCAGTGAAACATGAAGTGATAAACTTCAATCATTTGTAAATGTCACCCCATGTAAAGATGCGTATTCTTTATACACAAGCATTTCAGTCTTTCTTATGTATGTTAGTGTGTAAGTCCAGCATGCATAACACTGCACACAATAAATTTAAATTTATTATAAAGCAATTTTCACAGTACACAGCATAATGGAGAAAAACAAAACAATAAACTATTTAAACACCATGGAAAAGATGTTATGGATGTTAGCACTGAAATTGCAGAGGAAAAAACAGACAAGGACACAGCTACAGGAGGAACATAAGATGAAGACTCAAAAGACTAATCTACCAGCCAGAAAAGAAACCACAGGGTTCATGCACTCATTCGTGAAGCAGCATCTATTGCTTATGAAAACAGCTCAATGTAGTACAGAGAGCATGAATGGGACGAAACTGAAAGGCGCACACTCTACACCCGCGATAGGCCAGACAGAGCACTGAATCTTGACCTGGGCAGGTACATACCGCCTCTGGCTTGCTGTACTTGTCTGGGGTCACTGGTTTGCTCCAGGTGCCAGCACCGGCCTGAAAGACTGTGCGTGCCAGTGGTTTCTGCCGTAAGCTGCTCTCCCAACCGAATATTCCTCTAACAGAGCCCTATAGACCCATACATATGCATACAAATTACAAACACCGTCAACTCAGATCACATGACTCCTAGAGTAAAGTAATTAGTAACAAGGCCCTAAAGTACAGATATGTAGAGAAGGAAAGAAAGAAGTTAAGTCAAGAGAGGTTAGTTTGATGATATGGCTGATGTGTTTGTGTGTACCGGTGCATTTATCTCCCCTGTGATAACTAAAGTTGACCTAATCAGTCCTGGTTTGCTTTATCATCTCAAGAATATAAGTGTAAAATAGAATTTAGCTAAAGTATTCACTGCTCTGGGCATATTCAATTATGAGACTTTGGCAGAAAAGCTTGATCACTGCAACGCAATAATTAGTGATAGACTGGTATTTTTACCAGGCCGATCATCAGTATTGCCAATTACCATTTGTGCATTTCCCAGACCGTTGGTTTCCCTTTTATGTCAGAACAAGATCTACAAACAGTCTAGTCAAAATTTTACTAGTTTACAAAAGTTTGGGGCCAGTAAGTTTTATTTTAGGAAAGTATTTCTTTGATTCTGCAAAGACACATTAAATAGTTCAAAAGTGACAGATAAACACTTGCACAAGACTTTCAATAAATGCTGTGCGTTTGAGCTTTATAATCGAAGGATCCTGAAAATTATCACAGTCTTCTAGAAAAAATATTAAGAAACACAACCAGAGTAATGGCTGCTGAAAATTAAGCTTTGCCATCATACAATACATTTTAAAATATAGGCTATGCATATAGTAATAGTATGTTAACAATAGTACTGGTTTTACTGTATTTTCAATCAAATAAATGGAGCTTTTAAATATATATCATTTCAGTGTATTCCATACATATTTTTTTTTTAGGTTGCAGGTTCGATTCACAGTACCAGCAGGAAATGACTGAGGTACACTTGAGCAAGGCACCTAACACCTATCGCTCCACGAGCACCACAGCAAAATGGCTGCCCACGGCTCTGAGTGTGTGTGTCCAGAGTTGGCGGTGTGTGTGTGTGCGCGCGTGTTCGCTAATCACAACTTCTAATGTGTGTGCACTAAAAAAATGCAAATTCTGAGTATGGGTTACCATACATGTCACTATTCTGTTCTCAGTATCAGGATCAGCCATTAAAAGATACACATTGGCCTGCCCACTATTTACAACGACACTAAGGAATTAATTCCTTGGTTAAAAACAAATATGAAAACATTTAAAAGTCGTTTCTCAGCCCAAGATGTTTTCCAGCTAATATTACCTCCTGTAATGCGTCAACGCCATCGTCGGCTCCATCTTTCTTTAAGTCCATTTCTGCAGGAAAATCAAATTTAAACAGTTAAATCGATAAAAACAGTCAGGTATGAATTTATCTATTTTGAGGTGCCTAAAAAGTAACGCTATCAGCAACAATTACATTTGTAATTTCAATGCAAAGGAGCAACTTTCTTGAGCATTTAGTGTGAAGCGGAGACAAAGGAAGAAAGACCAACAGAGGTTTGCCACCAGGAGAAGCGTTTGTGATTGTAAAGCATTATTCTATAGCTGCTCTAGAACCTCTTAAACTGGACATTTCATTCACACCTCTCTGACTGGTGATCTTCTCCAGTCGCACCACACACGGCTTCACTGCGCTCGAGTGTTGAACCATCTCTGGAAAACAGCACATCGTTTCCATCAATCTAACCAACCTCTGCTGGATCTGACTGGATACAACTTTAACTGCACTATAAACAATAATATAAAATTTCAATTTGATCATTTCATTGTACTTACTATGTCAATTATTGCCACTAAATTAATCCATGACAATTCATTGGGAAATATAGTAATCTGTGGAGCACCATTTAGTAATAAAAAGCACCAGTGTTGATTACATGTAAGCCGAAAGATGTTTCTACAACTTGAATGATTTTGACAATGCAGATCCAGTCTTGCCGAGCTAGACCTTTGGTTGTTGTTGGCTTAAGGCTGGGTAGTGGGTACAGTCTGCAGCTTCTTCTGGCCAAGAACCACACTTTAAGCACTATTAATGGATCTAGAAAACTTGAAAATATTGGCTGCGACCACTGAGGTGCTTCTTGCAATGAAGAATGGAAAGCCATTGTCAGCCTTATCTGACATTGCTGATCCAATCTGATCCACACTTTTTCCACAGCAACACAACTTTGAATCCATCTCTCAGATTTAATGCCATGAACCTTGAAATAAAAGTGGTAGCCCTTCCTATCGTAGTAGCCCTTACCTTGCTAGCACAATTTTGCGTTGAGATGGACTCATTAAAAAAAAAAAAAAACTGTGGCACCCGAAATTCAAAAGGTTAACATTTTATCAGATTGTCTGTGTACATTTTTGATGTGGTTTTCTGCAGTGTAGGTTGATTTTTTTCCTCCAGGAATGCCAACTATGTCAAAGGCTGATAATATCTATGTGATTATCACAGTGAATCGTTTTGGTGCATTTTTTTCACCAGTGATTGTCTCCACGTTGCCTTAAAAAACCTTTAGGGCAACTTACCTGACGTGCTGCTTCTGGCTTTTTTCCTCATCCCATTTCTGATGGGTGAAATTTTAACTTCAGTTTGCTCTACGGATGAGTCATCATTGGAATCCAGCTCCTTTACTATATCAGTGTCACTTTCACCTGAACTATCGTCCCATTGAAGAGCATCGCCATTTTCAACAGCCTGTGAGTAAAACCATTTTGAACATGACAAAATTAATTGAGACAAATAAATAGAACGAGCATAGAGAGAGCTATAGATTGATATATAAACTTGCATTCTATACCTGGGCAAAGATCTTTTCTGCTTCAAGAGAAGGACAGGGCAAAACCAAAAGACAGAGGACAAGCCTCTTGAAAATAGATGCTGGTGGAAAAGTCTTGAGCACACCACACCAGTATTGCTCCAGAGAAAGGGTTGAAGATGAGTCTTCTTCATCCTCAACAAGCTGGTACTCCAAGAACTCATCAGTGAGCTTGGCAGAATCCTCAGGTTTGGAGCAGATGCCAAATTGTACAGCAAGGTCAACTACATTCTTTCCTGTGATTTTTAACCTTCCCGCTGGGCTGAGGAGCTGTGAAATGCCCCTCAAGACACTTTCGCTCAGAGGGAGACTGTCAGCGATAGAGGTCGTAAGAGTTTTGTAAAACTTTAAAGACTCGTCATGAAATGCATTCAGGGAATCTGCCAGTTCCTCTTCTCTGGTAGAGATGAAGTCTTCTACCACCCCACCCAGACTGAGCTCAGTAGCAGGAAGACAGAATGTTGAGTTCTCCAGGATGGATGGGTCTCGTTCCTTCAGGTAGCGCATGACCGCTTGAGGGCGGAGAAAGCTGGAGGCATATGAACGTAGGAGCCCACTTGCTTCTCGAAGGATCTGGGCAAGGTCAGCACGAACAGAGCCTTTGCTTTGTTGCACGTGCTGCCCGAAGGCACGGAGTGAACCAAGAGCGTGATCCAGAAACATCAAGGTGACCCTAATTTTAGGGCTCTCCAACTGCGAACAAATATGCTTAGCTTCATCCTTATTTTCATCACAAGAGGTAAAGTATGATACCAAATCACTCCACATTCCAAGAATCCTTTGAACGAGCACACAAAACTCCTCACAACTGTGTGACAGGGGTGTGCAGTTGTCTTTTACTCCATTAATGCCTGCAAACAGCATCTTGAGGTTGTCATTGCTGGTGGAACAAGTGGAGAAGTGCGTGTAGATGTTGACAATAAGTTCATGAACCTGACTGGTGTAAGCCTTTAGGCCAGCATTGTACGCAGAGTCAGGTATGCCGTAAAGTCCACCAAGATCAATCACCTGTGGGTTGAGTTTCTGAATTTGCAACACGACACTTTCTGAGGTCTGTTCCTGATCATCGACATAGAAAGCTACCATGTTGCTAGCAGGAAGTTCAAACTTTTGGAGGACATCGACTAAACATCCAGAAACGGAGTCGTCAGCCTGAAAGACGTCAAGGAGACGGATACAGTACCTCGCTTGATTTTCCTCAAAAAACCCCACGAGCACTACATGGCAGGAGGTCCTGTCTCCGCTCTCAACATCAAGTGGCACCTGCCCATATATGTAGATACAGAAAGGGTTCAGCTTACAAGCAGAAACAATGTCCTGTGGATACTCTAGTCCGAGGATGTATTTTGCAGTACGTTGGGAGGCCTTGTTGATCCTTGAGGGTAAAATGGATAGGCAATGGGTTTGAATGAAAAGCAGCATGGTTTCACTACAGGGAATGGTGACTTCAATCTGCTTTTTTCCAGATGAATTTAATTCTCCCTCAAATTTCATATGCTTTTGAGTCAGCTTGTGTCGCTTCAGATCGTAAAAACCTGCGTGTAGGACAACGTTATGGTCACACAAAGTGCAGTAAGCGCAATTGTCTCCCAGATGACTGGCTTTGATCCATTTAAAGGTTCTTTGCCATTTAGGATCATAGGTCACAGGTCTTCTCCTTCCATTAAAATCAGTGTCTCTGTCAGACTCGTCCCTTACTCTGGCTGTATAAAATGAAAAACAAGTTACATCATTGAGTGTTACTGAGGCAAATTTTGTATTCATGACTGGGAATACAATTGAATGAAATAATTAAAAGTCTTATAAAGGGGGGGGGGGGGTAATTAAAATAATTTAAATACAAAACTGAAATAACAATAATGAAGGCTTACCAGATTCATGCAGACTTTTCCAAGACTTTGGAGACTTAACAGCGTCATCTACATGTACAATATCCTGACCATTACGAGCTTCAACTGGGTCGTACTCCCTCCCTTGATTCTCATTGGCACAGAAAAATTTCTTGAACCACTTCATAAAAGTGAAATTGGGTCTAAACTTTCCTGTAAGAAGCTCGTTCACAGGGACTGACTGAAAGAAACAAAAAATTGGGAAAGTCACAGTACTGTAAAGAGCTTGACAGAAAACATACTGTAGTTCTCAGATTATATTCTTATACAAAATTCACAATTAAATATGCATCATATAATTTCTGCAGCACGTATGGGATTAAAAAGAATAGCAACAACATAAGGAAAATAAACAAATTTGCATGCATCACCTTACGCATTGACAATTGTTTTTGCAGGAGGATTAACAGAATACATTATCTGAAAAAATCTGACCTCTGTTATGCCTAATTTATGGAAAGCTGTCTGCAGAAGACTGTAGTTCTGCATGAAATCCGAACTCTTTTGGGACTCAAACTTTACTTTGCTCATGTCAATGGACCCTGGGAAGAGCAAGTCTATTAGCTGGCAAAAACATGCACCTAAAAAAAAAAGAAAAAGAATCATGTAATTCAGGTTAAAGCTGTTGTCAATAAGCAGACATTAACAACAAAACAGAAAAAAATATATAAAAACAGTACCTGACCGACATTGCTCCACTTGAGTAAAGTTAGTGTGCAGGGTTTCGTTGATCCAGGACAAAATGTCATAGCGACTGAACTTGTCATCAGGGTTATTCGGGTCCAGACTAACATTTGTAGCCATCTTATGCTTTCATAATGCAAAACAAAAGAACAAAAGAATTTTTCTTACAAAAGAACATGAGACAACATTCAGAAGCCATATATCACAACCAGTCAATCAATTTCATTGCACATTTGAGTAGAGAAGGGTTCTTTTTTTAATGTCTTACACTTCTTAGACCAGAGAGAGTAAGATATGACACTAAACTAGTAAGTGTCATAGTACCTTTTGTTCACCTATCTATTTGTTGAAAAGACAAAGAGAGAAAAATATTTGCATGCATAATAAATAATGCAAAATGACTCTTACACACGAGATGCATAACAAAAAGTTGATAGAGATGGATAAAGTTTACTGAATTTTGAAGCCTAACTAGTCTAAATGATATTGCATTTCATCAAAACTAAAAAGACTACAAAATCTATCTTGCGTCAGAGTGTTGAGTAAAACAACTCCTCCCCACTTTACGAAAATCTCGCGGGGTTATTTTTGCCGCGAATGCAGCGCGCTTATAAAATAGCTTTCACTTTTACAGGTTAAACCTGTGACAACAACTTGATACACCATGGATCGAAAACAATGTGCGCACGAAATCTAAATGAAAGTATGAAATAAACAAAAACCGGTAGCATATGCATTTAGATGTTTAGCGGTTGATTTATTTGGGGAATGACGAAGGAATTGTAGTGGTTTGTAGCATTATAATTTAGTCGCTGACTCTCGTCTTTGTGATCCCTTTCACAACAATTGGATTTACGCTACCGAGACAAATGTTTCCATAATTTGTGTGATTTTAACTTTGCAAGTCGCTTTAACCTAGACGTAAACGGCTAAGTTACCATGCAATGCAATGTATGTTTGCAAATAACGTCAATTCAGTTAACACTTTTTCCATGAAACATATGCGCGTTTTCATTGTATTAAGACCGGTTCGGTTGCCTTTGTCACTGTGTCTTTGTGTAGCTGTAATGGTCGCTCACATGAAGCGAAAACTGTAACAGGGCAATAGATATAATACTGAAATCAGCAGAATCGCAACTCTCCACAAAATCTAATTAATCGAAACGTACTTCTTTAAAAAATCAAGTATGTCCAACCGTATTAGTAACTTACCCTGGTCCCGGAGATCTTGCTACTCCCCAGTCTAAAAGGTAATTCCCTGTGCCTTCCCCCAACATATGCATTGTGCTGACAAGGATTGGCCTGTAGAAGCCAAAGTGGGAGGTACTACAAACACTGCAGCTAGCTAAGATTTCTCGAATGTGCGTGTTGGCCAAAAACATTTATTTTCACGTCAGAGTTGTGAAATAAATCTGAAGTGACTTCTGTTCAGTTATTTTATTCGTAACAATTAGAAACGAATCTGATATCAAGAATAGGCATTTGCGATTTTCTTACTGACTCGCAGTTAAAAACACCGATCAGTTTTGCACATGTTCTGTTGGTGTTTAAACCATAAAAATTGTTGGATTATTTCACCAAATTACTGAAATAATCTTTAAAAAATGTTACACACAGAGTTATCCAGAAGTTTGGCAGATGATTAACTTTTTATTTAATCTTTTTTAATGAAATATTTCCGTTACGATCATGATTCGGTCACAGACGAAAGCCACGTGGCGAGCACGCGCCTGTTTGTGGAGTTGGTGAGATGTTATAATATTTGTAAATTTTTAAGTAGGCTAGTGAGCCTCAGAGAACAAACGTATATTGCGAAATTACGCCGTTTTATTTTTAAATGTGCATAGCGTACATTTAAAGTGTTTAACGTCACATAACTCTGAAATATCAATATAATCTCTGCAGTAAACAGTGAGATGTTTGTGCCACTGAAATGGCGGGCGGTGCGCTGAGTTGAACGTGTTGATGATATGGCGCAAAAAAAAAAAAAGAAAGAAGAAAGAAAGAAAGCTTCGGGGAAAGAGCTTGTTCACCACCCAAAATGGCGGGGCTATTTGAATGGGCTTGTTCTGAAATGTGGCTCGTTTGTATCTTTAAGAAGAAATTCTGTAACACAGTCCATTTGGGACCCTGCCTTTACATCAGCCACATATTTGATGTTTCCTTTTTTAATCTGCCTTTTACTAGTGCAGCTTTCTACTAGCACAGCCAATACACCAGCAAACTATTTTTTTATCATAAAAATAGTTTATGTACATTTATATTGGAGAATATTAGAAATTTGCTTGAGAAATAAATGATGAAACCACAACACCACTTTAACGCAAAGAAGTAAAGCATGTTAGCCTACATAAAATATACAAAATACATATATTTAGGCTTATATGAGTCAATGGGGTCCATCAACTCGTTGGTTACCACCATTCTTTAAAATATTCTTTTGTGTTAGAAGAAAGAAATACAGGTTTGGAACAATTTGAAGGTGAGTAAATGATTTTTGGTTGAACTCTCCCTTTAATATGCAGAGGCGGCTGTTTGGTAGCTAAATTTTTCCAAGAAGCACTGTGGCACTATCAAAACATACTCTGAGCATTTCAACCAGCCCGATGAAACAATATTGACCAAACACTGAGTTTGAGGCAGGGCTACCTGTTTTTCTGACCAAGAGTATAGGACACCTGTTGAATTATTATTTTTTTGATTACACTCAAACTGTGGTTTTTGGTTAGAATTGCAATGAGAGGAGGTTCTTCTCTACTAACCACTTTATTTATGACAGAGCTGATTTAGAAACAGCTTGATGACCATGCCTTTAAATTGTGATTGCACTTTTATTTATTTTAACATCAGCAGGCCTAATTTGTTTAAAGGCAAAGCAGGACAGACAGGAAGCCTCCACCCATGACCAGTAGAACAGGATTTTTTATTTTCATTTTCTCACTCTCCCTTCTTTCTCTTTCATAAATATATTTTTTTAATCTGTTTTGTGTGCTTGTATTTCTCCCATTTCATCTTAATATACAGAAACAGCTTTAAAAAAATACATTTGCTGGGTGATTTTTCAAAGAAGCACTGCAGGACTATCAAAACATTACTCTGTTTGATCATTTCAACCAGCCCAACAGAACAATAATGACACAACACTGAGTTTGGGGCAGGGCTATCTGTTTTTCTGGCCAGTTGTACAGTTCCGTTTGGTGATTTCTGATGTGAGTTCCGTTTGGTGAACTGTGGTTTCTGGTTGGAATTGCAATGAGAAATTCTTCTCTACTTACCACTTCTTTATAACTCACAAATTGCGATTTTGTATCTCACAATGCTGAGAAAAGAAGTCAGAATTGCTAGAAAAAAAGTCAGAACTGTGAGATAAAAAGTCACAACTATCTTTTATATTGTTTTATGTGGAGGAAACAAGCTTCCATAGTTTTCACAGTTGTCCCATTAAAGATTCCCCAAAGAACTATTCCCTGGTCAGTTCTTAAAAGAACTTTTTTTTTTTCTTTGAGTGAAGAACATTTTAATAATAGCACCCCTCTTCTGCTTATCACAAAAAAAAGAGATGAGTGAGAACAGGAAAAGAGCAAAGGACCATGTGATCTGTTTAATATTTTTTTGTTGAATTATTGAAGTTCACTGTCCAGTGGAACACGGAAGTTTAAACTGAAGTGAGTTCCTTATCAGAAGTGAAAGAAGTAGTCGGTGATTCATATCATGCTTCTGCTCTACAAAACCAGTATAGTCTTTATCTTCTCTCCTTCCTTTCCCCTCCAGATGTCTGCTGTTTGAAACTGAAAATAACGGTTACACAACATAACTTATACCCACACATAAATCTCTCTCATGCATGTTTCACAATGTCTCCTTTGGCGTGCTTGAGAAAGTGACCAGGCTAACTTGTGTTTGAGACATACTTTTTCTCTTGTGATGATGTGCTGTCTGTTAGTTTATGAAGGACAACTTTTTTTTTAGGAACTAAAAACATTTGAGATATATTTTCCACATGCTTCAAAGCATGAAATAAAAGTCCTGTCATCCTCACATTTCTCCAACCTGTATTTTCTTTTATTTGTAGAGCACACAAGGAAATATTCAGAATCAGAAGTTTTTTCTGTCTTTTGCCATAGTGAAGCTTTAAAGCACCAAAAAGGACTCAACAATAAAAGTGTTCTAACTCATGCTAACTATTGTGTGACAAACAGGATCAGTCTACTTAGGAAATCATTTAGACCAGTTCTGTTTCATTGGAAAGATCTTTTAAGAATGGTTTATTCAGGAATCAGACAGCTAACTCTCATTGAACATAACGATAGCTTTTTGTGACGGTTTAGATACGATTTTGCATCCAGATTGAAGCTTGAAAGCTTTTAGCCCATTTATCATAATTGCATTGAAAATACCTTCAAAATATCTAATTTAAGTTCTGAAATTACATAAAAAATGTAATTCTGTCTTAGAACGTGTATACCGTATGCTTAAACTGGTCACCATTTCATTTGTGTGCTACATTTTTTTGCATTTAGTAGTTAATTTTAAAAGGTGAGTGGCAAATTTATTTTTATTTCATAGTCCCTCTGTTATAATGAGCTTCTAAAATGTTTTTACATGGAGCATGTCACACCGCTGTACACAATACAGATTCAGTTGCTTTAAAAAGCAGATTGAAAAGTGAAATGTGTTTGAAAAGTGTTTCCTAACACAAACCTACTCTCGCCTTCAGCCCACAGATGAACCGAGAACCCAGACAGCTCATCGCATCACTCACCTCGCTATTGAGATGGCAAATCCTATCTCACTCATGCCTTGTCTACCACAGCAGGGTCACTGGGGTCAAAGGTAGGCTTTGTGTTATTTATCAAGGGGCAACACCCTGTAAGTGACAGGAAAGAGAGCCAGTCTGGTTCTTAGTTTGTTCCTAATTTAGAAAAGAGAAGTTTTGCTTGAGAAATAGCTGCAAATGAATGCATTAAATAGGCCTATAAATGGTAGAAAAAATATGCAATTTGTTGACTCCAAAAACAAAAAAAAGCTCCATTGTTTATTGTCAATATGAAGCACAGCTCATGCACACAGATGTCACTTTCAAACCAAGCAACTTTCTGTTGGTCAACATGGCCAACTTGAACCCATGACGAAAACTGCGTGCAAAATAGTTTGTTCTTACGCGAAATTCCTGATTTCTATTAATTTGGATTTGGAAAGCAAAAAAATCCTGAACAATGTTTAGTCAAGTTGGTGGTCTTGCAACAGGTCAAGAGTTTATTTTTGCATGGAGCCACGATGGGCTGGGGCCATTTTTATTAATGATTTATTTTTGAGGGCAGAGAGGAAGCTGAGTTAGTAATTAAACTAATCACAACTTGTAGGTTGTACTATACATTTTGAGCAGTATTAGGTTTCAAAGCTTTCAAAATATGAGCTAAGTAAGTCTGTGTTCTTTAGGGTGTGTTTTTAAAGGGAAAGGTTGAGATAAAGTTCCTGAGAAAAACACAAAGGTGAATGATGAGAGTGGTAAGCTGCTGAGACAGGGAAAAGACAGAAAACAATACTAGAGGTCAGGTCCTGACAGGTGCGATCAAACTCATCACAAGTTGCAGGATAAGGGAACTCGCAGCCACCACAGGGGGTCACACTGCACTTGTCACAGCCAATCAGACACAGACACAGCGTGAACGCTGCCTTTGTTTGTCTCACCTCACTGTGAGACTTTTCTAGCCAATCATCTTGATTGATTTTGGGTTTGACTGACAGGGATGAGGGAAGGAATTGCAAAGCGTGTAGTAAAGGTCAGTGGAGTGTTGTAAACTGCTCTTGACTCGTGTATGAAATCTAAAAGGTGACACGAATTTAAATCATTTTTTGTTTATATATTTATTATTAATTTATTCCTGTTGTTCATGAGTACTTATTTCCCAGGAGTTTTTATTTTGCCACTTTAAACTTATGTATGTGAGGGTGCTGTGTCAGTAATTAACCAGGGCTGAGGGCAAAAATGCCCTAAAACAAACAAACAAACAAAAAATTCCAGATAAAATGGAAGACAAGGAAATGTGCCTATATTTCATGTTTTTTTGTTCATGTTATTGTATTTTATTATTTTCAAATCTTTTTGACATAATCTTTGATATAACAATATTATTTTCAATGCCAAGTGTATCTTGTGTAGTAGCTACATATTTGGTGCTGATTTTGAAATTGTCCCCTAAAAAAATCAGCATTAATAAGTTATTTGGTAATGTTTCCTTTTTTAAAATGTAACATTTTATATATTT